CGTACTACTACACACACACACACACACACACACACACACACACACACACACACACACACACGCACACACATATCGTGAAAGCCCACACTCACACTCACACGGGCACTCACACTGAGACATTTTATCTCACACTCAGAGAGACCAACACACGTACACACACTCAACGGGTTTCATATCATGTGAACCTTTGCACGTCGTTACCACAATGAAGAAAATGAGCCAAATCATAACTGTTTCGGTAAAACTTTTATTTTGATTTGATTAGCATACAACATTTTTGCAACATTTGGCATGCAAGATCTTGTTATAGGAAAACGTTGTTTTTGTCTACTTACACTATGTACAAGAACAGTACGAAAACATCGAACAAAGCTATGCTTACTATCACTTTCTTCTTTCAATACAAGTGGTTTTCTTTAGGTCCCTTTACCAGCCTTATAACTTATAGCAACAAAAATACACTTCAACAAGTATACTTTCGTCAGTTGGTCCATGTCAACGTAATAGTCATAAATCTAATAAAAGTGAAATGTTGACAGAAACACAAAGAACTACAAAGAAGGTACAAAATAAGCAAAAAATAAGACAAAAAAATAAAGAAAGTTAAATTCATTTTGAACAATAAACAGTTACATGTAGCGACTAACACGCACTATGCTCTACATATAAAACCATTGTTCCCGCCAATGGGTTTCTACGTAGCTATTTACAGTCTAAAACTTGGCCTTATATATATATAGCACACAGAAGACAGTGGATTTGAGAGAGCGTATTATATAGTCTTAGAATTGAATTTCCAACGGCGAATACGAACAGCGTTTACATATATTTAGATATCACTCACATAGCTATATAAAACAAGCAAGAGAAGACAAGACGCTAAACCTTTCACAGCAAATATCTTGCCGATTTCGTCTCAAAACGAATTACTGGTACATTAGTTTGGTTCTGCCGTATGTAAGTTTTTTTTTTTTTTTATCATTCTAATTTCAACGGTTGGGGTTCTGTGCGTTAAGTTAACAGGTGATTCATCATACAGGTGACAAACGTATAATGGATGATGATATCTATACGCACAAGAAATGACCCGCTGAATGCAGTCTTCCAAACCGGAAATAAACTGCCGAGAACTCCATGAAACTCCCATATTCCACCACGGGCAAATGTTCCATAGTTTAGATCACACAATTCCCTTCATCACATTTAAATGCTTTGACCTCCGTTGTAATCTGGCAAGGTCAAATATCTTGCGTATTGAACCATTCTTCTGAACTTCCTCTCCGCCTATCATCTGACGTTCGTCGCCATGGTTACCAAGAAGTTGATGGATTGCAGGATGGCGCGGTTGGCCCCTGTGTGTGGCTGATAACCGCCATTTAATGTGATGATATGGGGCTTACTCACGATTATGTACAAATAAATGGCACATGACACTCCCGGCGTACAGAGGGAACAGAGGTTATCGCTTCCTGGCGCAGTTTCAGCGGCAATAGATATAAGTCTGCCGTGTGCTATAGCGAAATGTGCCTGCTCCGCGGGACTGAAATGCCGTATTAATGAAGTGCCTAGCACCCTTTTCCCAACCTAATCCCTCTTATCTGTCATAAAGCATATCTGCCCGACGGATTACTGCCAACCGTATGAGTTTCTTCTCCTCATACATATATAGCGTCCTGCACACAATGCTATCTCACCAGTTATGACAGTGATGCATTTTTCTATCAACGGCGCCGTCAAAAACTATTACGAGTGATTGAACTTTACCTTTCTGGGACTGGCCTACAGTATTACTCCTTTTTATCACGCATTTGACTCTGCTTGAACTGCATATTTAAGGACTTTTACTTTCTTTGGCGAAGCTATTGTCAACGGGTGGTGTTACGTGTGTACATATGTCACTGTTTTCTAAGCAAAATTACTTTAACCTAGCTGCAAGACAATAAAATATAGTATTTACTAATAACAAGTTATATAATTTCATCATTGCGGCTATCGAGTTTTGCGTTTATTTTCGCACCAATTTCTTTGAATGTTGGATAGAAACGTTCTTCATTTAGATACAGTTTAAGCAATTGCCTTATTCCTTTTCTAAATGGTTTATGACTCGTAATAACAGTAATTTATCAGTGGGTGTAAAATACATCCTTTGGTGTATGAACAGCTTTCATGTCGGGCTGTTTCCACGTTTGATTACTGTAGGAATTATAAGCACTAATTTATCATCATTATCTACAAAATACACCATGGTAAGAGTGTGTCACTGGTATTAATGATGATTTTCCACCTCATCTCTTCTCAAAGTAGTCGTCATTTCATTAACAACTTCCGTGTAAAATCGGAGAAGCACTTCTACACTAAGCGTGTTGATCGGAAATGAGCGAGATAAATCGGAATAACACACAAACATACAATCAATTCGCACTAGGCATATCACGTCAGGAGGGAATTTATTCCCCTCCATTTCGTACAGTAAATGTCGTGAAGTTTTGGTACGTGGCTTGTTTCAGACGAGTGGTGAAGATGATGATGATGTGGAGGTCTTCAGTACGCTTGCGCCATGGCTCCGCCCGCCACCTGGATGAGCCCGAGTGCTGCCGAATGTTCCCGAGACTTCTGCCGAAGGGCCGCGATGCCCAGACTGTTGCTGTTGAAGTCCGTGCTGTTGGTGCCTGGACAAAAATAAAAGAACACAGACTTTGAGTATATCAGGGGAAATCTATACAGCAAAGGCACAACGAACCACACAAGGAATGCACGTATCTAATATACTATCTATTCTTGTCAGAGGGCCTGGGTTTGGGTGTAAGTCCTCGCTTGTGAAAGAATGACAGGACACGTTTCCTTTCGGTCAATAACGTCTTTATTGAAATTATTCAGACGTCACCATCATATGCATTTGTATATTTTATACACAGTGCGGGTACAGCTAGCTGAATTAACTGTTAACAACAGCAAGAATGCAAGGGTCTGTAGCGATTTAAACGCCTGTTGTTCACTTAAATTTAGGAGAGGAAAGCCAAAAGGACCAGGATAGTTTATCATCGCCTTTTGCTCTTGAGTTCAACACGTGCGTGCGATGTAGCTTGATGAACTTTTGATTGCTTTTTCTTTCAAAGCCTCCTTTTGTGAAGGTGCCCGGGTCTCGTCTCGCAGTACTGTACATGTGGCGAAGTACTCAACTGCACCAAGAGTAACACCACTTCTGCTAACGCTTTACAGGCAGCGCCTAAAACATTCAATAAGGGAGTCCCAGAGGAACGATATCTGTACAGCCACAGTTTAGATCTGGGCACGATAAGGAATAGCGAAGGGTTGAGTAATGACTATTGGGAACGAGAACTACTTCCGGCACTTGTGAGGGACTCCGACAACCGCCTGCTCACTGTGTAACACGTTCTGACGCTTCGGGCCGACCAGAGGCTGCATCAATCTTCCAGAGACAGTTTCGTTTCTTCTCCTTTCCTCTGGGATATGAAAATCACTACTACTAGCCTCACAAAAAACAGTGCGGTACGAAAACATTGCCATCGCAGCCTCCTTTCAACACTTACGCGGTTATCCTTGCGATGAAACACAAAATAACAAGTCTCGGAGAAAAGAAAACAAACAAATGAAAGCCTTCATGCTCCTCTGGACGTTTTCTTTGTGAGACGATAATTTCCTGATAACTCAGCATAGGACAGTGTGTGCAAACATTGCTAACCCTGGCTATACTCCTGAGAGTATCTCCTTACACAGTTCTATATGATAGTCGGTGATCAAAGTACTGTGTTGATGTGCACCTGTCTCCTTCCCTGTACAAAGTCACAAGGTCCCAAAACAGGAACTACGATCAACACTTCTACTAGCCTGGATGCCAGACCCAAAGCACACTGGACACAAAATATCTATTTTGTGTCCAGTGTGCTTTGGGTCTGGCATCCAGGCTACACTTCTACAAGTACGGACATATTTCCATAGTTTAGGACGTTCTACAATCGACAGAATGTTTTGCCGTAGAAAATTAACTTGAATACATATTTCCTCAGCTGTAAAATCTATCTCAGAACAGGCTTGTACTACTCGTATGTTATTCTCAAATGGACGGTCCAGAGGGAGTAGGGACTGAGAAAATTACTTACTTTGTTCATCACATATCTCTCGCGAGGGCTGCGACTGGATAGGGTACATTTGAATATGACATTTCCAGAACGCATGTGCGTAGATGTACAGTTGTGATTGTGAAAAATCTATTTCTAAAAGCGGAGTGTATTTTGTCTATGCATTTGCAAACTGTACCTTAGTGTAAGAACTTGAACGGGTTTATATGAAGTGTTTTCATTCCATATGCCGGCCATTCATGCAATTAAAAAATTATGTTCCTTTTGTTAAAAGTATATACTTTTACTTATACTATTCCTTATTCTAGTATTGCCTTCCCAATGTGAATTCTTGATACTACAGCCTTCTCTGTCGAAAATACCTCGCAAATAACCATTTGCGTTACCAATTTATCGCGAATTGCCCCAAATTAATTGGGCATTGTCCGTGACTCAATGGTTCATGAAATAGGGTGGGTAACTGTATATCCTTGTGGATCCTTCCGCCACGTTGAGCTAATCCGTGTTCTATGAATGACAAATCGGTGGTTAATTCCTGCCGGACTACTTTCCAATCTGGCGGGGGCACCGCGGGACCGGCCCGATGTTTTCATTGAAACAGTAACCGCGCCCACCTGTTTGTACAACTCCGCGGTAAGGCCACAGCAAGTTATTCTTACGGATGACATCAACGCGCACATTGATTTTCGCCTGATTTTGGAGAAAAAAAACCATGAAATTTTATTGTCCTTTGACAGTGGACAACATACCGAAAATGGGTAAATATGTATGTCTGTTGCCATGCCGGAACGTGGATGGCAGATAAATATGAAGAGAGGAGACAAGACAAGGCTCTGATTTAAAGTTTTGTCTTTTACTTTTTCTTTGTTGCAGTGTAGTATGTCATTCCTTTATATGTGATGTTGCCGCTGCATAAAAAAAATCTTGTTTAACAAAGTTTATGATTTCAAAATTTGAAAATACAGAAATCTTGGTCTATTTGGCCCGCCTTGTTTTTTTCGCCCTATCGCATTAGATTTGGAGTCTGCGGAGGATGTCGTCCATAAAATTTACTTGCTGTGGCCTAACGCCTCTCACCCTGCATTACGGCACGGGCTCTTAAAAAGATTAAGTGGTCCTGACCCCAACAGAGGAGACGTCTGGCCTATGAACTTCAGTTCTCCTGAGAGGAAGATCTCCCTTACACGGGAACATGGGACCTCATCTATAACATGTACCGTGTGATGAAATTTGTAACGTAATCTGATGGCTCGCGTCGATAAGTGGAACATTTTAACCAGTCTATGGTACAAATAGCCCAACAAATCCCGCCTGGTATTGGAAACAGCGTGTTGAAAGACATCTGAATATTGCTAGAACCATCCAACAACAAAACAGCATATTGTGGACTGTGGACCGTAGCATTACGTTTTGACTCTGATGCACACAATTTCCACAAAGTAATATTCTACTACTAAGTTTTGTGCGGCCCAATGCACCAGTGTGCATATGGCAGACGCAATGACAAATAAATAAATAAAAAAAACAAGTACATTTATTTATACAGCAGGATTATTGATAATGTCTGTCAAAAAATGTAGCCATCCGTACTCTCCAAGCAGAGGTTGATGGTGGAAGGTCGTTTGCCTTTTATATATGGCCCTTTTTTGTCGCTACCACCACCAATGTAGCGACAAAAAAAGCGGGCCATGTATAAAAAGCAAACGATCTTCCACCATCAACCTCTGCTTGGAGAGTAGCCATCAGGCCCTAAAAGTTATAATTGAAAAAGGTTCATCTTTCCTCTTTTCCTAGTTGACAGCGAAATGTGGCAACTGTTTCTCACCTTGTACCCAGGAGCCGTCCATGCTGTAGGCATGCGCAGTTGACGAGAAGCTGTGCGCAGGCGCGGTGCAGTATGTCTGTGCGGTGTTGTATGAGTAGGTGTCGGCGGCTGTAGTGCTGCTGTAACAGTCGCTGGACGGGAGGGAGGTGGCGGGAGACGTGCTGCTGCTGGCCGGGGCGCAGTGCACAGGGTACGGGTCCACCTGCTGACTGCTCATGCTACCCAGTCCGTTCACCAGCTACATATACAGCACAAAATAAAGAAGGAAAATACGGTTAATAAAGCTGAACCTATTTATTAGAGTAGCTGTAGATACGCAAGCTTTAGATACATCCCATTCAGAAGTTCTGTCAATGCGTGTAGGTTACTTCTACTTCAGTATTTGTAGGAAATGTATGCATGCACCTAGCCCGATAGGGCATGAGTGTACAATATATGTTATGAATTATTATCAAAATTAAAATGTGATAAAACAATATTGCCTCAATAGAAAGCTACCTTTTTTCAACATCGTCACTTTTCCGTGTATGCTTTTGCAATTTGCAAAACAACACAATTTCAACATTTTGCATCACGTAGTAGTTTGTAGGGTGAGCATTGAGCAGTTTGCTGGTGCAGTATATCATGGGAAAAGAAGAGGAGGTCAACTGTTGAAGAGAACTTACCCCAGTGGACATGCCACTGCTGACAGACAGACCGGTGGAGGCTGTGGACAGGTAGGAGTCAGAGAACGGGTACTGGTAGGGTTTGCTGGCAGTGCCGTACATGCTGGCCGTGTCTGCAGCCCCGCTCTGATGAATGCTGGTAGGGGGCAGAGGCTGTGGTCTGTGCAGGGTTGCCGAATCTGTAAGTAATAAGACAGAAAATTGGGATCGTAACACATTTGTCGGTGTAAAAGGATAAAGTTCTCTCTCCCACGGCCTTCTTCCAGCGACGCTGCTGCCGTGCCATGATCCCTGTGACTGGTGGAAAGACACACTAGTTTTTCTCACACAGAATAAATGCTAGACGAACAGATCCTATCCTACTGGTAAGAAAATCCCCTCCATCACACTGAGTTTCAAACCAATAAAATTGTCAACTCTTCGTATGTAGGGCAGAGAACTTGTACATAGACCGTACTTCGCATTTTATTCCGGGATGAACTAGAGAGAAGATACAATACCTCTTCCCTCAGTCAGAATATCAAAATAATGATCTCCATCAATCTAAGGGTCATAAAATTTGTCTACTATTCATGGGGCCATTCATGTGCAGAACCGCTGTAAGTAACACATGCTTTGCATTTCATTTCAGTACTGGGATGAACTAGAGAGAAGATAAATTACATGGTTTCTCTTCACTCAGAAAATCAAAAGGATGATCTCCATCAACCTAAGTTTCATACGATAAAATTTGTTTACTCTTCATGTTCAGAACCGCTCAGAGTACGTAACATGCATTTCATTTCAATACTGGGATTGGCTGGAGAGAAGGGGTGGTACCTGGTGCGTTGGTCGGGTAAGCAGGCTCGGGGACAGGCATGTAGGTCGGCGTCCCGGCGGCAGGAGCGGGATAACCCAGCGGCATGAAGGACGGGATCTGCTGGGCCCCCTGCTGCTTCCTCCAGCGGGCCCGCCGGTTACTGAACCACACCTGCACAGATGGAGACATCACACACCATAACTACTAACGTCTGGACTCTTGAGTTCTGTCATTCTTGGGTGAAGAAGAGGTCATGATATGACGTGCATCCTCAGCAATCTTAGTCAGCAAGGTTGGAAGCCGGACAAGGAACGGTTACATTCTGGTTCCAAAGATATAAATCTGTGCAGATGTTTGACAGTTCAGCTTCTTTAACACTGTAGATTGAGGTAGATTTCAGTGTATATTTGCTGATTGTGGAGAGTACATACTACATACATCAAGAATCACAGAACCCCAGAGTTTTACAGTAATTCTATTTTCCCCTCACTAGACTCTAACAGAAACACAATGCACGATTTGAGGTCGGCTTAGCGCCTAAAATCAGCGGTATGTATATATAGTATACGTATGTGGTATCAAACGTTTCGGCGTTGGAAACACTCCAACAGACGCGACATGTGGAGGAAAAGTCGCCTTGGCTAACCAGCAGTTATGTTCCACCCTACTGCATGATTTACTCTCTAGTCTATTTTATGTCCCTTTCTTATCATGAAAACAGGTGTCCACCATGTCCCCACATAGCTCCGCTATGGAACACAGCCGCACCAGACAGACATGCCCGTTTGTCTTTAGTTAAGTGCTAAAGGGGCCCGGGGCGAACGGGTCAATTGCTTTGTGTTGAAACAACTTATCCCGAATCACCCATGTGGACCAATGTTTGTAAGGATAGCGGAGGATCTCTCTGTAATCATATCGGATTTATGCAAGGATTAGCGGTGAATAGGTATAAATATAGGTATTTGTTGCATCGGTGCTTTTCTCTTGACTGAGCCATGAAAAGGAAAAATAAAGATCCGCTGGGAAATACGGCATGTAAGGGTTAACCACGCGTGTGCTTCCCTGTGAGACCGAATTTGCGCCGGTTTGTTATGACCAAAATAACGACCTCATCATCTTCTTCATCAAGAACTTATTGATACAAGCACGGCGCGATCAAAGCAGACGCACCGAAACGAGAAATTTCTCCGCGTCTGTTATTTCCGATCATCGAAGGCATTTCCTGCATTACTTTATGTAAATCCTGCAGTTGTTAATGTTTGACACTTAGCGAGAATTACATGTGTACAGGAATTATTTTCCTGACTACTCGAGTTCCTATCTTAACGAAATCTCCATGGTTCGTTACATCATACATGATAGCGGGAAACTGATGCCTGCTTCCAGTAGCATTTCTCACTAACCACGTTAGTTCTGCCCAGTCAAGTAGTATTAGCCCGTACAGGCCAAGTACGTATACAACACAAGTACGAGACAACTTTCAGACATTGTTGACAATTACGAGCTATGTTCTTGTTTAACTCAATTACGATTGGCCTATATATGATTTGATTTGACAGAAAGCATATAGGGTTGTTTGCCATGCAATGCCCGTGCCAATGTTGGCTGGGATGAGAGACGAACTGTCATGGCTTTGACGTACGGGTGATGTGGGAACAGGCGATGTTTCACGACGAGGTAGTGTGCTCAATATGGATCTGGTTTGAGAGCCCATGTGTTCGAACAAAGGGCAGCATTTTTCCACGCCTCGACTCTTCCTGAGAATGATGGGCCCGTGAAGCCTGCCCCTCCCCAGTCCCAGCCCCGGCCCGGGATCGGGTACCGTACGGGATGGGAACTACACATGGAATGAATTTTCCAGACGTCTCATCCCAGCCTCTTGACCCTGTGAATTCCACCACTTTTCGGTAAGTGTTCCTTGGCGGGTTCGGATGAGTGGGAACGGGGAGAATCCGTGTGGTCGGGCGCGCTGAGAGATGCACTTCACGCCAAAATAAATTGAAAAGCAGAGGGGGTCTCCTCACGTGCTAACAGGTCAGATCCTCCGTGGTTTCCTCTACAGACAGAGATGTACCCTCATCATCCCTGATGGTCTCCACGGACAACCTCCTACGATACAGTGTTTGTTTTCTTCAAGACAACCATGGTGAAAACTTATGGCAACAGTTGACTTTAAGATCAGCTTCATCACAAGTAGCCCTGCCCACCTTGGTACCTACCCTGGGTACCTACTAGCTTCTATTTTCTGACTTTCATACGGCATCTGGCGAAAGATTTTGCTCAAAACACAGCTAACGCTTAAGGAATCAGAATTTCCGCTTAAGAAGTACTCTAGACCTCGGGGTTGTGTCACTACTGAATACAAGTATTTCGGGTTCAAGTGTGCTGTGCCGGCTTTTCTTCTCGATGGAGAAAATTTGAGGGCGGAATGACTGCCGTGCGGAAGCGAGGATTTCTACCTGTCCGCCCACCACATCTTTCACCGCAGCCCCCATTTCCTGCGGCCGGCGGGAGACCGATCCATAAAGGCACAGATGTCAACCTGGGGGACCTGCGATTCACTGTCTCCATTTCACTGCCTCTGTGGGGACGTACAAGAGGTCAGTGTTCCCTGCCAGGTCTGTATCAGTCCGGGTGTCCGACAGGCCTGAGACTGTCAGTCCCCTGAGCCGTGGGGTCACTCTGCTGACCGCACTGACCCCCGTGTCCCTCTTCCACAGAGACCCACAACTCTCCAGAGATCTCAGTATTTTTGGGCCATGTGAAAGAAACTTGCTGAACTAAGCAAAAGACTGATCGATTTTACCACAGAATGATACAACCAGTACAGAACGTGCATATCGAAAAACTGTTTTTAAATGTCTACAGCAGAACGCAAAAAAAATCACACAAGAAAGTAGATGTCTAGATATGCTATGATATCGTAATAATTGTCTTAGAGACCCTTGCATAGAAGTTGTGTGGTTGTTAGCTTTTGTTAGCTAGTGAGGAAGACTAACATCTGTGTGTCTGTACAGGTGTGTAAGAAGGTACGGTACTGTGTTATTCTCCCATGAGAGTATCGCTGTCAGTGTATGTTTTCCGAGTCTGATATCATCATTGTCAGTCAGCAGTATTCACACCTGCTAAAGCTAAGGTCCCAATTGGGAAAAGGGGCCCTGGCGGGTAGTTCCCGGGCTGTTTTTTACCACTTTCGGGCGGGACCCCGACGTGGCCCCGCGGGGCACCCTGCGGCTACCGGGCTATTTTTTGGCCCGTCGGGGCCCCGATAAGAATTTAATTCTGAGTTAAATTCTACCCGGGCCCCGCTGACAAAAAGACGCCGTGACCTCATCGTGAGAACACCGAGAGGTACCCCTCCGGTTGCCGGCATTCCACCGGGACACATATCTTACGTCACAGACCAGATGAACAGAATAAAGGTGTGTACGTCGTAAACCCGGGTAAAATGTGTGACCTCACAGATCAAATGATCACAACAAATACGTGAATTCTGCATTACGTATAGGTCAATACAAGACGTCGTCAGAGAATCTGCTGGGTACCTGCCGGGTGCCTGCCGGAGACCGACCAAATTTTTAACAAAATGCTACTGAAGGAAACTTTTAATTGTGACCACGACAGCCGATGCCCGCCCGACTCCTGAACCCGGCAGGGGCCAGCCGGGGCTACATCCCCGACGGGCACCGGCGTAATTGGGACCTTAGCTTAACTGGGCACAAGTGTGAAAGCAGACGTGGCGGAAATACTCGGGATTGGTTTCACCTCATGATCCCTGTCCCTTCTTACTCCACAAAAACTACCAGTAATATAGAACGCATTTTGTGTATGAAGGCAAGGCATACTGAAGTTCTGAAATGTCTTCTGAACTTTCTTCTCGATTATAATATTTCTATTGAAAATATTAGTTTTATAACAACAACCTGACCAGACTTCCAAATTTGAGACAAATGAACTATAGCTGTCCGGAAAGTGTTAGGGTTAGATTTATAAGACTCTGACCTGTACCCTGGCCTCCGTCAGCTTGGTCCTCTATGCCAGCTCCTCCCGTGTGTAGATGTCCGGGTAGTGTTAATGTTAGTGTTGGTGTTGGGGTTAGGGTTAGTAAGTGTTAGGTTAGATAACTTAGCTAGCAGAGATAACTGCAGACTCTGACCTGCACCCTGGCCTCCGTCAGCTTGGTCCTCTGTGCCAGCTCCTCCCGTGTGTAGATGTCCGGGTAGTGAGTGCGCTCGAACGCCTTCTCCAGCTCCTCCAGCTGCTCCGGAGTGAAGGTGGTGCGGCTGCGGCGCTGCTTCCTCTTCAGCGGCAGGTCGGGCTCGGAGTCGCAGTCGGAACTGTCTCCCGGTCCTGATATAAAACAACAACGTTTTCGTTACAGGTATCTACGGTGTATACCAACAATCGCAGGATGTTCAGTTTTGTGGAGAACTGTCCCGTGGAATATTTCATTACAGGAATCCGAAAAACAACGTTAACCTTTATCATACCTTGAAGCAATAGTTTTTGTAGATATTCTCGCACATCACTTGGAGAGCTAGTATACTGCCATTTATACTGCCATAACACCACCATAAATTCGTTTCTATTCTAAAATTCTCTTTTGACATGCTGTATTTGCATTACTATTAATTCTAATGGCTATTTTTAATTATGATAGTCTTGAAATACATGTTGCACGTTTCCACGACATTGGGACATAATATATTTGCTTCGCGACCATGCAGAACCACTGTTAACTATAACTACTATTTTTCACCAATTTCTATTTTCTACTGACTACTGTTTATAGAAAAATGTAGAGTCATTGCCTGTTTGGGTATACAAAACATAGAATATCGCAAATACATTCGCCACGGCCTTTCCCGAATTAGTACTTCAAGAGCGATCCGCGAAACCCAAACACTGCGAGAGAGCGGATCCGATTGGTTATTTCCCCTGGTTATGAGTTTGTTGATTGTCCCCTGCTGTCAGGGTAGGGACGAAACGTAAACAACAGTTTGTAACTTCCGACATCCCAACATGAGGAAACACTGATTGAAGAAATTTTAGAAAAAGAACATGCGGTATCTATACATTTTCATACAATTGATATGAAATTAATACAAGGTAGAATTCCGACTCTAAATCTAATAATTCTTAGTGAGTTCACCGAATGGACATACATTTCCTTATTTCAATCTACTATTTTAATAACAGCTTTAAAAAATAGATGCTTAGAATTATAATGATGCCTGTAATGACCTGTGTCCAGAAGCCGTTTTTATAGTTATACAGAATGCCTACATTCACGGAGTCAGTGTTTGTATATAGTATGTGTTATAATCTCCGCGGATACGGAGGTATAATCAGCGACCACTGTGTATGCAATCGTCCAGAACACCATGCAAGTGCTCAGCTTGAAATACGATGTACCTGCACGACCTACATATGACATTCCGACAAGTGCGCGCATATATAATCTCGCTAACAAGCCCAGTCGGATTATATGAAACTCCCTGGCGACCCACGCCAACTCTCCTCAACACAAAACGGTTCATATGCCTCGTGCTTTCATATTAGCGCCCCTTGACCAACTGCTTCCCTTCAAAACTCTTGTCAAAACCATAACCTGGAACAATCAATTTGTCTTGAGTTCCCTTCACCGTGCAGTAGGTTGTAGGTATGATCCGTGTCATATTGTGTAGCCATATTTTGTTGGAGTAGGGTTACATATGAGTTAATACTGTAGACCTCCCTGGGTAGGTTGTATGTTGGGAGTGCGTTGTTGAGTGCGGTTTGTGTTTGTGTCGTACACCATGTGCGCGCGTGTTCACGAACAGATGCGACTCGCTGTCGTACTTCACACCTTCTTGCCAAGCGGTGGGGCCCGCATTGAGCAGGCCCGCTCAACCAGCAATTTTCCCAGCAATAATAACGGACGGCTTCCCCGCGCACAGATGTTACTACGGGGCCTTTTCTATAGCAGGGCCCAGCTGAACACGGCAATATGAGCATCTGATGTATACTTGATGACATTAATCACATCCGTGATTGTTGTTTGATAACGGTTGTTACCATGGCTCCGGACATAAAAACCTAACTGTGTCGACAATTTGCTTTTCTGTCGAGTACCGGGGGAACAAAATAGGCATTTCAGATTCAATTCTAAGTTATATTGGCCTTTGTTGTAGGGCTAATACACAGTGACCTTCTGGGCTTCTATGGCGGTGGTAGGCTGGGGAGACGTATTCGTACAATGTGTGGTTTCTCACGAGGATTTTAACTTCAATAGGTCGACTTTGAGTTGTAAAGATGCCGTGTTATCACTGATATCGTGATTATCGTTCTCAGATTGACAAAAATGAACCGTAAGGCCGTTACCTAATACAACAGTTGGTTTTCAAAAGGTTCAATAAATGCTGCATGGAATCAACTTGAGTTCTTGGCTACATAGGGGAATACGCATGTTACATTTTCAGCCATGGATGTGAAAATAGCGAATGATCCCATCCAATCATCACAATCTTCTGTTTTGATAAACAATAATAGACTACGTGCTTATTAGAATGTGAAAATACTAGTGACTTGTGCCAATAGGCTTCAGAGAAAAACGATTTGTTTTAAAAAGTTACTAAAACACAATGATTCCAGTGCCGTTTCGGTAGTATATATTAGGCCAGCAGCCTGATACAGCGGGGTGGGAGTTTACACCATGTTCTATTGGCCTGGGTCCACTTCATTGTGTCATCAAGTGGTCATTTGGGGCCATTATAATTAATCGTTTCAATTAACTCTCATTTCCGAATAGACTGCCCCCATTTCGCGTCTAAAATCTAGTATACTGTACTGCTAGAAGCACATTCAACTATTTATACCATTTTCACGGATCGCACAAAGAATACTTGCTTTTCGAATTCTATCACAATTCCATAAAGCCGGTTACAGCGATAACCTGGCATTGGAATAATCTCTTCAATTTGCGGGAGATCTTGATTCATTTGGTCATTATTCGGAGTGTTGGATATTCATCATCTGAAGCCTCCTCCCGTCAATAGGGAGCTTTGTGAACTGGCGCGGGTAAGCAGGCACCTCGCTGGGCGGGAAACGCGCCGTTTTTCCCCCGCAGAGCCCGCAGATATTCTCCGCTTTCACGGACAATCGCGGGGCACGGGTCACGACTCCGGGAGGACAGTTCCGCGAGCTTCCTCACTCCTTCCGCGGCCCTCTGATTGCATATTTCTGGTGCCGTGCCCCAGACCTACCGCGACTTCATTGAAGGGTGGCGGACACTGTCGAGAATCGTAGGGAGAATCCCCAAATTATAGACCTACTCTCCTTCCGCCCGGGTCTGGGGTTACAGCCAACATATGGCGGCCCTTCTACCCACAAGGTATTTCCATGACAATCCTCAGCATGCAGTATCCCCCACTAAACATGAATACACGCAACACAAAAAAAAACTCCACAAAACACATGGACAAAACAACGCAAAAATCTCAAGAATCCAGGAGAAAACCGCACGTCCTGTGTAGAGAAAGGTTGTCAAGTACCACGCAGATCTGTCATATTCTTCACAGCGAAAGATCGAGGGTTTGTACTCGGGCTCCCCTATGAGGGGGAGGATGAATTTTCACAGGTTTTTGTGCATGCATCATTGCCGACTCCGCGCCGCGTCGAGGTGGGATTTTTCCCACGATAACCCGGAGAGCCGAGAATGGCTGTAAACGACTTGGACACTTCTTCAATGGCCAAGGTCCTTATCGCCGAGGTGCGATCGGAGGCCAGGCACACCTTCTGAAAGGGTCATTCATCATCCAAGTCTACAATACCCCGGCGCTGACAGTTCATATTATCGCCATTTGTTTAAGTACTGATTTCCTGAATTACACATTTTTAGCTATAAATTAGGATTAACGCTTGCCTGCGAATTGCGGTAGGAATCGAAAATTGGTCACAAAAAAGAGTTTCTCTTTCAGGAATTCGTCGTGTCGTCGGAGAAATTCCTATTACGTTGTCTCATTTCCGCTCGTGGTTTGACTCCCGTAGAGGAATTCTCTGCCTTGTAACCGTTCCGCTGAACTCTGGTCACAAATGAGGCCAAGACATGAATGTCAAGCTTTATTCATTCTTCAAGAAGGCATTTACAACAAGCTTTGTGCATTCAATTGTGAATAAAGGCTTTGACTTTGTAGGAAATCTACTTGGGAGATGATGTAATTCGCTTCAAGTTGTATTGTCTCAATGTGGGATTCCGTTTTTCCCATGTAACCAGCTTTAACTTGCAAATCTCAGTCAATGGTCAAAGGCATCGAGCATTTCCATGCCGTACACATGCTTTTGTTTTTGCTGGGGTCCGTGTATTGTTTTCCGGGACGTGTCCGTACGCGTGGCCCTCTTTTGTACCCATCAGCCAGCTAGTTCTGATTCGTCATGGCCGGCGACGGTGTTTGTTGAATTTGCCACACAGTTTATCTGTGTTTCGACAACTTTGTTTAAAACACGCGACCAGGCACCCGATTTCTTGGACAACACAACGGTATTCAATATCTATTGCAGGTTCGATAGGCAAAGTTACTATATAACTATAAAATATAGACAAGTTTATTGCAAATTCCTGCCCAAAGGCTAATAATTTGGAAATAACAAAGAACATTGAGGCAGGGTACGAAATACCTTCAAACTCTACATAATAACACTAGGTAATTGTCTAAAACTAGAGATATGTATAGAACTACTAGTATGTTTGAGGGGTTTGACTTCTCTTCTACCGGTATTCTGCAAACCATGGAAGACGTATAAAATTACTAGCATTTTAGAGTACAAAGACACCAACAACCTTTGTCTGTCCATCTTTCAGTCTAAGGTGGTAACGACATATAACTTTTACTAGCAAAAACGAGGAACACATTACTCGGTCTTAGATCATGTGTGAATCCTAAGCTTGCCAAGCGGAGGAAGTTTTGAAATGCCCGACATATGACTGTCCACCCGCGAATCTGCAGAATAAACAATTGCGTGCTAACAGGGCGCGCAAGCAGCACAGATCTGCTAATTAAGAATTAATCACTGCCGGAATTTTCCCATGCCTGCTAATTTTCTATGACCTCATTTCTGTGACCTCTGGTGCGTGAGAAAAAAGGGCCAAGTTCACAGCTGGGCAGACAAAACGCCTTCTGTGGGTTAGGCCTCTCTAAAGATGTGTCAAAACTCCAGGCATGAGGCACCGTGAACTAAGCCATGTGTTCGTACACAACATGTATATGAACTGTTCTATGAGACTATGTAACGAGTAAGTCATTGTGATGATAGTAAAATGTTTGGAAAGATGCTAGTCATTCCCGAATCAGCATGGAACCACAAGCGACCCAAACCTAAGCGGAAATATGATCGACCAGTGTCAGAGAGAGCTGGAGTGTTGACTGATGACAACGTGGATACGATTGTAAGTTTTGCTGACTTCCCATCATGTTTACAACGCTCTATATTACTGACGTTTAATAGATCAGAATAATTTGAGATCGAAAGAACACCATCTTACAAAGGAGGTCAGACACGTTAACCAATTGTGTAAACACTAACACTAAAACGTATCATTCACTCAAAAGGATTAGTTTACCATTAAGCAGAGAATCTGTTCACAAATTTGAACACACATACATGGAACATACAAACATAATACACACGAACATATTCAACTATGATGATAAATTATACAACAGTCTGCTACAGGGAAAGGCTAAATTAGAACTAGTACTTGTGTTAGAACTAGTACTGGTATTCAAATTCAACATCAATTTAAGATATTAAACTACAAGAATCGGTCCACTAAAATCAATACTGACTAAAACGATGGTAGTGTACACGAGAACTTCGTTTGAAGCAGAAACATATTTTTGCATAGGTGATATTCAGTGCATAATCCGTGTTTTCAGAGAGGTCGTGACTCTGCGTCAGCGAATTCCAAGCCTTTTCAGAGGATGTGAAGTGAACATGTGAACTCACCATTCTTTTCTCCCAGGATGCCGTCGATGCTGTGTGGCTTCCGATCGCTGTCGATGCTCGTATCGTCGTCTCCCTCGCACTCCAAGTCGCTGATCTTGTGGCCCTTTCCGCGGAGAATGCGCGAGATGGAGGAGACGGAGGGCACGGTGCTGCGGTCGCACATCCCGTCCTTCAGCAGCCGGTCCCGGATCTCCCAGCTGAACATGCCGGGGTTGTCTCGCTTGTAGTCCTCGATCTTCTTCTCCACCTCGGGCGTAGCGACGCGCGGCTTGCTGCCGCCGATGGCGCCCGGCTTGATGGAGCCGGTCTCCTGGTAGCGGCAGAGGATCTTGGAGACGCAGCCGTGCGACACGCGGAGCTGGCGGCTGATGACGCAGGGCCGGATCCCGGCGGCGGCCATCTCCACGATCTTGTGCCGAATGTGGTTGGGCAGCGGGCGGCCGTTGATGAAGACTCCCCCGAGCTGGTTCACACGACCCTGCCCTGCACCATGACAAAGACCTTTACATCACCACTCGTGTGCTGGGCTCGTGTTAACACTTACACACCGCGTCCACGCCAAAACACTAACAATTGTGTATCGCCTTAGATAATCTATATCTTCTAATTTGATAATTTTCCGCTACAACACCGTATCAGTTTGCGGGACACCGGCAAAACAATACCTACTACAAATTTCGGAAGATATATTTTAAAGACCTAGAATAATCTGATAATTCTCAGACAAGACTCATCTTCAAAATTATGAATCCTCGCGTATACGTCAACATGCACCTTCGCTATCATGCTCTTACTCGTGAGGTTATTGTTCTACACAATAACCTAGAAGAATACACTTCCTGCACTACTCTAAGAACCACCAAACTGCAAAATCCAACAGAGAAGACACACTATCACTAAAGTGAAACTGACAACAAGGCAAAGGATCTACCATATCTCCTCAACGGTAACCGTTATCTCCTAGTTTTATCTCCAGATAGATAACCATTTGACCCCATGTTGCATGTGCTGATTGACGTACGAACGATCAATAAACGAGACTTAAACTTGAGAGGGGGGAAACACATTCACAGGCAGACTCACCTTCCAAAGGGAATGCAGGTCTGAACGTGGCTACAGGCCCGCCAGCTTGTCTCATGGTCATCATGTTCATGGTTGGAAAGTTTGGAATCAGCACGTCGTCTAGTGGAGTAACGGTCCTTCGGCGTTGTCCCGGGACGTACGTGTGTACTCAGTCGTTCTTTGCTCCGCTCTGTTTTGGTGCCTGCGGGGGAGCAGTGACCCCGTCTGAAGTTCTCCCCAACTGATTTACAATGCTGATTAGTCCGCGCCCCTCCGCCAACCGCACGATCTGATTGGATAGAAGTAAAACTGACGTCATTATGGTAATCTCTCATTGGTTGTTTTTCGCGGGCATTTTTGGCCTAGGTGTCCCGTTGAGAACGGCACCGTGGACAGGGGAAGCTGCCAGGCGGGTCGGGGTGACAGGGGGAGGGGCTGTTTCTCCGGAGATTTAGAAGCTGTGGGGTCACAGCAGGCGTAAAAATCGGGCACAGTCGCAGCTCCACCTCTTTTTCTGTTTACCAAGCTAGTTGCATTGTCGCCAGGACCCTGGCGAGAAATTTTGGACTGCGGCGGAAAAAACGCGTTTTTTTTCTCGATCTCGTGTGAAGGGACTCCCCGACGGTTCTGAAAATCACCGAATAACGACGTCTGATTGGGAACAGCGTTTTACAGTGTCTGATGTCTTCAGTTAGATCTGCCATTGCATGCAAGGAATTCACAACAGGATATTTCAGCAAAATTCAGGCTCGATATTTTCAATACCTATTACATAGTAATATAAATCAAAGCACAGGTCATTTCGACATGTAGAATTTCGTCCCAATTTGGCAATCATCGATATCGAAAATACGAGGAAAATTTCTAAAATTTAGATGTATACTCAATGATGTTTACATCAAGGAATTTTTTACTATGCAGAAACTTTCAGGAATTTAAAAGATTCAAAACCATTTTAGATAACTTGTTACATGATACATATACATGATAGAACTGTACATTGATATGTATAATGCATTTGAAAGCAGGAAATATTGGCGCCCTAGCCCTGATCAGAATAATGTCGATATTCTCGATCATATGGTAACATCATAACCTGACAGTAAAGACGTTAGATAAACAAGGTGTTTGCAGTGAAGATGATTCTCCTGACGATGATAAACGGCCATCCCCGCTGAGAACCCTCGCCCCTCCACTACAACAACGTGCTCTCGCCAAGCTCCTGTTCCTTTGGGAAAAGCAAACAGTACGGTTTCCGAGCTCTCTCGGACCAGCATAATCACGGAGAAATAGATCAGATTAACGGAGAATCACATTCCCGGCTCTTTTGTTTCATGTCTTCCGATTGGCGGCGGATGGTGTCAGATCCGTCTTTAACACCTTGTTCTGAAACAATACTAATGCATTTAGGTGTGATTAGTTGGTGTGTATTCTATGATTTCTGTTGTTTTTGTCTATTTGCGATGGAAAGTTCTCTTGTACGCAGGCTTCATGAAGGAATACATTAATTGTCTATTCATGGCCGTCGAAACATTATTGTACAATTGTATAATGCTTCATTTTAGCAAGCACCTCCTTGATTTTAGCAAGGACCTCCTTGACACCAGAATTGCATACCCCATAGACTTGTGTACCAGGGAAAAGAGTTGGAAACGCGATGATATTGAAAACGTACATGGCATAGCTTTGCCAGCCAGCAATACCAAAGCTACATATCCAGCCCTGCTATCATCATGTGTGTACCCATTACACTTGACAAATTGTTGGAGCGGCATGTAGTTGGAGGGTATCAAGTTTTCTATAACGGGCACATCTTCCAGACAAGCCTTTTCATGCGTTATCACTGTCCATACGTCATCAAACACACAAGACAGCGCACGTTCAGTCCTAACTCGTTTGGGGAGAAGCCCCGCCATTCTCGTCTTCACAGACAAGTCAAAGGGAACGTCAACATCAGGTCCACATCTGTTGTGTTGAGGGCCAATCTCAGAAATCCGAGACTTGGCATTTTGCTCCGTTCCTTTTCATGGTCTTCCTTACGGGAGGCGGGCCCCTTGGCACCTTAAAAGATGACAGTTTTGTTGAGAGTCTTCAGAAGGCTGCCCGCCATCTCGGTAGCCATCTTGAATATCATCCTCCACTGTTCGGAGAGGTGAATCTCTCCATTATGTTCTTTACAGCCGCGTTTCTAGCGGGAATAAAACTCCTTCACTACTGGGGAATATGATTTCTCCCAGGGCGGTGTTTTGTCTGATTTTTCCAGCGATTGCGGAGACACCGACTGCCCCATAAATCCGTCTTTACGACTTCTGATAAAGGGGAACTCAAGAACCGTCCGTCCCGCGGAGGAATGGGCGCTTTCTGTACAACTCACCGGGTCCCCCTTGGGTCAATGTCTTTTTAACTCATCACAGCGAGCATCTGACCCGGAGTTGTTTATGTACTTTGAGGATACGTTTTGTTTGTTTGCATCGGAATCACCTAAGTCAAAATATTTGTTACCTCCTCTAGTGATGTATATCCTCTTTGCGTAACACTCGCTACTGCTGTATGACCTAAGATAACGCGACGTTTTGAAAAGGAAATGCCAACAATAGCGTTTGTACCACCTGAATTTCGGCTCACAAACATCTTTTCTGGATTAACCTGAAAAAGGCGCTCTTGCCATCTTGGAACGAAGGCTCATACATTTTCAGCAGCGGACCTGTCAGGCGCGGACAATGGTTTCTTTTCTCCGCGCGTTTTGGGAAAGGCTTCCTTGCCAATTGTGCGCGCAGCAGGGCGCGGTAACGCTATACTGTCCGCCGGTCCTCCCCGAAGTGCGGGCCCAGCGGGGCGCGAGGCTGCAGTTTTATCTTCTCAGGACATCCATCTTTCCCCCTGACCCACACAATGTTGGCGGGAGGGGCACGTCACAACCCCTCAATCGGCCCCGCCAAATATATGCAGGTGTATTGAGCGCGCAAAGGAGTTTATCCTATTATAGCGCGCACAATACACGTCTCTGTGAACAATATGTCCTCACTTTGATGGAATTATGTTCAGCCTGTGGTGTTGACGATGGCTGGACGGAGACAATGACTCTGCACTGATTCAACTCTATAAATGCTAAACAGTTTGTTGTTCGTCTAAAGGCGGCCACCCTCTTGTGGACAAAGCCTTTGTCGATTCATGCTTTAGCTGCGAGTAAAGGAATTTTTGTCGGCTGCATTGACCGATATTCGAAATTCCTTCCTATGTTGAAATAGGGAAAGCCGTACAATGTACGAAAAATTATAGTAAGGATATTTCCATTGTTAAACTATACCTATCTGCCGTTAACTTGATATGATGATGTCTCATACATGTCTAGAGGGAGTGCAGCTATATATAAGTTATGAAACATGTCATTGAAATCATTTTTTAAAATGTGCACTAAAATTTCAAGTGTACCAAATTCACCGCAAATACTAGTAATCACTTGAACAGAGTTTTCCGACTGTTGGGTTTCAACCATGAAACTAGTTCGCATAAAAGAAAGACAATGTTTTGAAATATGTTTACTAGTTTGCAGAGGCAAAAGATAACATGTGTTTTTGATAAGACAAGACGACTTCCAGGTGTGACCATATATTTCTGTCCGGAAATGAAGATGTCCCGTCTGCACATCTGCAGGAGTCATCACCTGAAGCACCTGCTGCGCACGCCCGACATGACAGAGGACCTGTCAATCACCTGAGGTCATAGGTCAGCATCGCCATTCAGAAGAACACTGAAGTGTCTGTGTCCGTTACTCTCCAAGCAGTGGTTTGGGTTTTGGCTTATTTTTGGCGTGTTTTTCGGCTTTTTTTATCGGGGTTCCTTTTTTTGCTCTGAGATTTTTTATGCGTTGGGTTTCCAATGCAAAAAAGAAACCTCGATAAAAAAAGTTTCAAAATAAGCCAAAACCCAAACCTCTGCTTCGAGAACATGCGTCCGTGTCTGTATGTTTTCTTGTATCTTACAGGCACATACGTACGGTATTTTACATTTCTTCATTTTCTCCAAATCCTACAATTTCTTTATTTCCTGTGCATGCAGCAATATTGTGTATAAAGTAATTCGCTACTAATTGCTTACAGGTAAAAGATACCATGACAAAGAATGCAAACAGTTTTCCCACAGATTCGATATGTGTACGCCAAGAGGTATATAGTAAATACACTGTACGTTTCTTTGTATGTGTACTCTCGATTCGATCGTTAATTCGCCCATTATTATATTGCCTACATCGCTCTGTTGACTCTCGAGTATCAGTAATGAATATTGAAAGAAAACATTATCGAATTGTTTCTCCTACAACAGAGCGCGAATAAATTCTACGAAACAATGGTTAAACTGTTTTTTTCCTTGAATTCGTGCGTCAATTTTTTACATATTTCGACTGATTATCTCAAGAAAATGTGGGAATGTGCACATCGATCTTGTTTGTCGCCTCCGCCTTATTACACATATTATTTAAGTACAGTACTTCGCCGTTAGTAGTTATGACTTGTTCGTAAACCTTGGTAGTGTTAGGGTTACAATGCACATCCACAATCTACTTTTTATCGTAGTTCCATTTCATAAGTTAGATCTTCGGTGAATGACCCTTTACTGCTTCTTTTCCAACTTTTTTATTTGTGATGGAGGAACTATATGTTTTGCTTCGGTCAATACAATTTGTCCTTTAGGAGTCCGAGGAAATGACATTCTGAGTCACGTAGTCGCGGTGTTACGTTGACAGGGTAAGTTGTGTGTTTGTACGTGAAAAATGAATTTGTGCGTAATGGAAAAGTGGGGAATCTTCTTGTAAATCATTCTCAGTAAATCCGTTTTGTGCAGAAATCCATTTCCACCGGATTTTCCCGAGTTCCCTCGCCGTTCTAGAGATCTCTGGGCGCCGCTTCACGGTTGTCGGGCGCGTCGTGTGATCCCGGGGGCTATCACACCGAACCTTCCCACCTGCTGAACACTACAGCTATATCCGTCCCCCGGCCCGGCAGTTACGGAGATCAGCACACCTCAGGTTTACATCCAACACCGGCTGTTCCAATCCGTCACCACCATCCGTCACGTCACCCCCCACACCCCGCAGGTGACAGCTCCTACCGCCGCCGCAGTCCCACAATCATCTCGCTAAATAACAGCGTAACGATTAACCCGACAGTAACTACGCATCCGCCGAGAGTATCGCGCCTATCTCGCACCCGGAAAGTCTCCAATTGTCGCCGTTGGTGACAGGAGGGTCGCCTAATGCAAGTTATCTGCCCGCCGCCAGCCACTGGCTGCTCGCAACCGTTTTTCACGTCTTTCACCACGGCGATTACTGTCTCGTTAGAATGGGCGCGATAGGACGGGGAAATTATGGGCTGTGCGCGCTACTCGCGTCTGCAAGCTTTTCTACATCACGTTGAAAGAACACTTTACAGAGAATATTGTTCTCCGAGCCGTAAAAAAAATCTGGAATAAAATATGACCACACAGTACCGCTGCATGATATGGTATAATGTAGTCGAAGTTTCAAAGAACGCGCAAACCTGAGTGTATATAGTTAACTAGCGCCACTAAAATAAAATACATAGGCAGTCTAGATGTTTCATGTATTTCTCTGAATGTATTTGTAAGCCTTCTCAACGATCAATTAATACCGGTACCGTAATACAGAATGAACGATTCATCCAGAATATTACACGTACTGTACTTTCATACGCAAATTCACCATACGATGTGAAGACCAGGTTTGTTTTAGCCATATTCTGTCCAATTCTTCAAAAACACCTGTAAGTCCCGGGTTTCACTAGACGGTTGGATTCGTGCGACCCTTGATATTATATTAAAAATTGTAATATCATACACGATGCAAAAGTATAACCTATGAGACAACGAAACACACAAAATGTAAAACAAATTCGTGCTTTGTCTATGAAATTCCTTGCGCCATCTGTCAAATATTATCTAGTGTAAAACGAGAGCGAAAACTCTGGGAATGCTGTACCCAAGGACATTATATCGGAGAACTTTATTGCACGACAATTGTACATGGTACACTGTATGGCAACAGCTACTGAACAAACAAGGAGATTGGAAAATTCGAGTTAATATAGAATGCTTGCGTTCCATTTAGACGAAAAGTGTTTTCGGTGTATATACAGGGGTAATGTCCTTGCTGTGCCTAGTACATGTACAGCACCCATGGTTATTCCCCAGCATTGTCAGCTATGTTTGACGCATGTTCTACCGTTCTGGACTCTGATGGGTTCCGGACACGGGTCACCAAAACCTAACCAACTGGAAGAAGAGGGCCTGTTCGAGCCTTTGCAAACTTGTTCTGGAGTGTTTTTGTGGCTTACCGCTACAAGAGACCGGATTAAGAAACGTGTTGGTCCCCTGTTTAGCTTGTTTGCAAGACCGGAGTGTTTTACAGACACCACTTGTGTCCTGTCTTTGTGCGCGGATGTTGAAGTACTAATTACTATTATCCTGTCCATTGTGAACACAGTACCATCATGTCCCTGAGTGTCTCGGGAACAGTAGTTTACCAACAGGGCTTCCTTTAACACGGTTAGGTTACCTGCTGGGCATAATAGACGTTCTAATAAGTACAATTTGTGAATTAAAATCACTCCTCTAGTGGCTACGTCTGTGTAAACTTTATTCAGACCATTTGATAAACGATCTCTTTTAGTAGCATACGTAGATATATCAGTGTAGCTATTATCTACTCGTAGCATTAATGACAAAAAAAATGCTTAGAATGGCAATTATGTCTGCAATGTTGTGAAATTCTTTGTTCATTACTGAGAACAAGGACATCCTTGCTGAGAAAACGTAAAAATGCCTTGCCAAGTTACAGTGAGACTTTATACACCTGACTTTTCAAGTACGCACAATTCTAACATGTTTTTGGCGTTTCAGTTCGTTCTACACTTCTGGAATCCAATACCTGACTGTATGAGGGTATTTTCCTGTTGCAGCTTACCTTGTCCTGTTTTGTAGTGTCGCCACCAGTGTCGCTGGGTGGCAGACATACGTCACCTGTCGCCCGGCCTGGTGACGTGGCCTGCCTGGGGGGACGTGTGAACGACGGCAGATTGAACGCCTCACATTTCTGACGATCACGCAAGCATTGCTCGTCATTTCCGCCATCCGTGCCCCCCTGTCAACCCTCCCGGGTCCCGGGACATGCCACACTGCCGTCGTGTCGCCTCGGGCGCCGTGCGCGTCGTGTTCTCGGTATGACTGATCGCCGGCTCGGCCCGTGTCTGTTCCCTGAACAGTTTAGCGCGCTGTCGCTGGCAGGCTGGCATATTCCCAGAGACGACATCAGTCAAGTGCAAGGGCATACCGGTATCGGCGGCGTGCCCGGGACTAGAGGGACCGGCATTCCGTCATCGCCGCAATAAACGCACCGGGGAACTCCTAGCCGCCGCCACCGGGCCTCCTGCGAGCCTTGTTGCCAGCGCTGAGAGACTCTGGCCCGCTCCCGTCTGCCTACATGTAGAATTTAGCGGATTGCGCTTTGCGTTCGGTCTTTAGGAAGCGAAAGACTTCTGCATTCAAACTGATAGTATTCCAAATTTGCCATGACAAATTTTTAACAAAGAGTTGCAGGAAACCTTTCACTCGCCGCTCCAATCAGAATTACAGAAGTATGCCGTTTTCCTTACGGCGCTAATCGTGTCTTCGTCATGCGCTGTCTTGTTCTTTAAAAATTCGATTTGCTTTCCAATTTCACTGAGGAGGAGGCTAAGTTTCGTCCTAGACACTGCTTGCCGCAGAAAGGCACCCCAGAGTCCCTAAGCCGATAAACACAGCCCTTAACTACGGTACAGAACCCACTGTGGTGTTGCTTTATTACTGATAGCCAGAATTCTGACTTCCCAATTAATATTTCTGCTCCCCTGTGCAGTTTTGATATATCCATCACTGCCCGGGGTGTGGTAGTGGCTGTAAACTTGTACACCATGTATGTAAGAAAGGTTACAGACTCTTATATACATCTTACTCTCTCTATGTATAAAACGCTTGGGAATGTGTAAGGAATACTGAAAGTTATGTTAATGTGTTGAAATGGTTTGGGGTATATTTGAAGGTGGAAGAGGAATTTACGCTTGAAAAGACACATTGTTCCTTAATTTTGAATTAGCAAAACGGAGCATTAATATATCAGTGACAATATGAGCAGCATCGTCGGTAGGCACAGAACAAAATTCACTAACAGTTGTTGAAAGGTGTTTCACGGTTATATTATATAGAGAATGTGGGTTGGTAAAACAGATGTGTGTGTGTCAATGAGACACAGAACTGACAACATCAGAACGCTGGCGTGTCATAATGCCAGTATAACTATAACGGAATAGTGACATCTTTTTGTCTAGGAAAGGGAGTGGTAGAGACATCTTATTTCAAATTTTCTAGCTAAACCTTCTTCATACTTATATTCAGAGACAAGAAGCATATCAAAGTTTGAACAGATCATATTTCCAGTTGAAACCTACTCATGCTATATAGTATAATAGAAGAAAGTCTGACATCACACATATCCGTCATAGCTGAGACCCAAACTTTAATGCACACAAGATCCGTACACACGATTGTAGCAAACACACATGGGAAAACTTCCACCGTTTTCCCTCTGATTTGTATCAGTTGCTAACCAGCTGTCATTAACCCATTAACGTGGCGCCGACGCCTTGTTATCCCACGACCTTAAACAGAGGGGAGCACGGCTAAGGACCTACAATTGGCACCTTCGCTTCAAACTGGCTGTTTTGCGAGCAGTTTTCCATTGAAGCATCTTTATACAACCTGTTATTTTACATGGGTAGACTGTACAATTGTGGTGCACTACCCGCCACACGCCGGACTGGGTCTGGTCGGAATAAATACCTGTATTATACTACTCTCTATTTACACGGGAACTATGTACAAGGGGACGATAATTTGGCACATCAGTCATCTATCTGACTTAAGTAGCCCTAAACATGGTAAACAGACAGGAAAATAGCTTGTCACACACAAAAGAACTACTAAAACTTGCATAACGTATTTCATACAATGGAAAAATACAGTAAAAAACCAAACTAGGAAAAAAACGTTAGAATTATTTTTCTCTATTTTTTTCTTTCTGAACTTGAGCAAAAAAAGAATGTCTACATTCTACGTATAGAGACAGATGACAGAATATACGAAAACTTGAGGCCGAATTCATAAACATTTAGAATAGGATCAATATCTATGTCACTGTACACTCCACACTTTACTGACTTACTATGTCCATACACACATAGATTTGGCAAGACTTTGCTGCATATATAAACAGACTAATACAGTCTATGCATGTGATGTACAGTTATGTACGTAAGTGTAGATCACACCAGCTGATGGTCTTAGTATTTGCATACGGGTGTGATGAGGTGATGTCAATATCTATACTGTTGATTCTTTTCAACCTACAATATATTTTCGGTACATTCCGCACCTGTACTCTTGAAATTCTCCACCTTTACACACGGATACCGTTTATTTTTAAGTAGACGTTTTGGAATGTCACTCGTTTTTTATGTGGGTATGGTGATTCTACTTTGTCCTTTACTCGCTGCTGCCTTTCCTTTCCTCCGAGCTTGCGTGGTGTCCACCTGCCGTCCTCAGTACGCCTGTCCGGTGCCGCTGCCCACGGGGATCATACCGAGCGGGTGGACCAGCGACTTCTGCCGCAGACTGGACAGACTCGTCCCGGTACTGCCGTAGCTCGAGGTACAGGACCCTACAGGAAAACACAAACATAAACAAGAAAAACTTAATAAAAGTCAAGAAAAAGTCCTGCCAATTTTCTTACTGAGATCAGCTGTCTTTAGTTTGCTGCGTTTCAACTAGTATCCAATACATTTGCCATCTCTGTCAAATTTATAGTTCTGCTGTCATTTCTGAGATCAGGTTAACCTATTCTTACGTCTTAATCGCATATGTTGTTCGGAAGAAAAGGTAAAACGGATTTTTAACTTCATAATCAGAGATCATTGTCTGTGCAGTCTGTGTGCTGACATGTCTATAACAATTAATCTAATTAGTACCCACACTCCTTTTTATTAGCAACACTTAAATACACTACACACGGATTTGCAAGAAAAGTATTCCATAACTTATTTGACACAAAACCGCTTGTCAGCAAACATAACCACAAATTAGCAATGTGTAAAGCTTAGCGTTTCCCTCCTTGAACAACTTTGCTCAGCCCCAGAGTATATTTATCTACAAGCTCCGAGTACACAGTAGCAAACACTACTTGAGAGCAAGTGTGAGAGTGTATAAGCTTAATAGGACATTCTGAGCGACACAAAAGAAGATTGGTGTCCTGTATGTGCCCCCTCGCAACAATGATCCCACCACTGCTTTTCAACAGTGCACCTGAATACGTGCTTGCACCCAGTGTTTGGTTTCTGTTAGAACAGGACAATGCTGTGCCCATTGCAACTTCGCTCCCATGTTTGCCCGTCTCATCCAGAAAGGATTTCCTCTTTCTTCTCTTTCTTTTCCTTATTCAAAGACACTTCATCACCGTGGTTTAAAACCGGGTAGTTCTCCGGCCACGTGCTCTCATTGCTCCAAAAACAGATTACACTTGTGTATATTGGCCATCTCACCAGAACAAAGACTTCTGTCAAGAAACGGGCCAGCCCTTTTTGTGCGTTTCTCTGTAGAATTTACAAGTAGACAGGCTGTGAAGGAGGAGGACAATGTGTCCTTTTCATGGTCCCACGAGGGTCAGGGCTTCCAGGTCAGGAGAGCTGAAGTGGGTAGCTATGGTTATCGCTATGAATCGAGGTAAAATGCCAACACCATTGTGTGCTTTTTTTACATCCCGGTCTCTATCGCATAAGCAGCTATGTGTAGGGATCCAGGGGCCAGGCTTTCAGAGCGGGGACACAGACACAGTTGTTAGCCCGGTCTACCTTCCCATGTCGTGCGGTGGCATTTAGAATAGCGAATGGGGATCAAAAGCAGAGGAGAGGAAGAGGGAGCATCGGGCGTGCCCTCGTTGCCATGGTGATGACATCTCTGAACTTGGCCCGGGGATCGCTTCATCTTCTCCCAAACGGTTTGACCGGGGAAACATCTCGCCAAGAACGATGTGAAGTGGAGAGAATAGATTAGCTCCAACTTCCGCCCCAAAACTGAGTGGACATCAGAGTTCACGCCTTGCTCTAACACGGGTCGAGCAACATGTTTCCTAGTGTTAACTCCGATGTTTATGGTTAAGACGAGTAGTTCATTTTATAGCCGAATGAACAGAAATGAGCGTGTCGGCTTGTAACCTTGCCTTTACCAGGAGACTGGTGTTGGGGTGATGGGAGAGGGCGCACAGAACAATCCGGATTTTCTGCTAGAACTGACAATGACACGTTCTAAAGTGAGCTGTACATCTACTGTGTAGTGAGAACACCTGTTTCAGAACACACTTCCTAAAGTAAAGGCTACAGTTTATGACGAGAAGGGCAAACAAGTACAATTTGTCTGGGTGAAGTATGTATTTGCATTCCAGAAAAACCTCAACACTATCTTTTCACATGGTGGGAGTAATTGTACATTTACAAGGGTGAACAAGTACAATTTGTCTTGGTGTGAAGTATTGCATTTCAGGAAAATCTCAACCTATCTCTTTTCACACATGGACTTTTTAAAATCACCAGGAATAACCTACCTGGTGTAAGTAATTGTACAATTTTCTAAATGAAGAAAATTCTGCCCCCAGGACAAAAACCGTGGCGTTATATGAGGTAATTATCGGTGTATTTTTGTATGTTGTAGTTATTAAACTATCATGTGTGTGCTATAATATGCCAATATCAAGGCACAAACGTTATCTACAAACATTTCAAATATCTTGGACATTAAAAGCTACCTGGGAAAATTATGATTCACCACTAAACGTATTATCTCTAGAAGGTAATAACCCTTACTGTATACAAATAGGTAAATATATCAAAGAATGTTTAGACCTTAGAACAAGTACTAGTACTGTAGTATAAGTTGATTCATCGATCGTCTTGTACGTATGTTAATTTTGTTGTAACCACGTATCTGTCTGTATGTCTACATGTAGTTAAAAGAAAACTACTCTCCTCTTAACATCCGAAAACCCACAAATTACAGAAAAAGTGGGATCCTTTGTCTTCCTCTGTCTTCAAAAAAGAAGTCAAACCCAGTAGTTTTAGTAGTTTCTTAGTAGTTATCAGTAGTTCTATGTGTACTAATTGTCTGTTTTTATACCATATGTTTCTTCTGTTCCTGCAATTAGCCCTCGGGCAAGAACTTGCAATAAACAATTGTTAAAAGACCTTGCGAAAATCGCTGTACTTTTGTTGTGTCGATGAAACTCTATAATACATACCTTGTGACGGGTATTGTGATCCGTACTGGTAGGAGTCCATACTGTACGGATGGGCGGTGGTCGAGTAGCTGGGCGGCGTGCAGTACGACTGAGCATGCGCGGCGTAGCTGTCGTGGGTGGACGCATGCGCGGTGAAGCTTTCTGAGCTGGTGGCTTGCGTGGAGTCCATGGAGGTCGAGAGCGAGGCTAGAGGGTAGTCTTGCTGACACGTGCTGGGGTTTCCAAGGATGTTCAACACCTGAGCGGAGAGATAATCAAATTATTTTGAAAATCATGGTCACTCAGTAGAAAATAAAATGTATTATTCATTACAGATCAACTCAGGAAATAAAATTCTGGAAATAAAGTTCAGGAAATAAAACTCATTATACTCTCACAGCCTAACAGAATGCAAATTTGCAAATTCGTCTTTCTGTTGCAATAATGTAATGTTTTCTCGAATTTGAAAAGGTACAGTAGCCTCTACCAGGCTTCGGGAGACGGCTGGAAAGAGTAGAAATTGGCCAAATTTTTACTCTAGAGAGATAACATGCTGGGTGCGGCAAAATGTACTCTCTATCGGGCCAACTCTCTGGCATGTTATCTATCTATTTTAATTTCTACTCTTTCCAGCCGTCTCCTGATGCCTGGTAGAGGCTAAAGGTACAGGTCCTACCCATATTTCTTCCCAATGGAGGAAAAAAAACGAAGGATGGTCAGATGGGAGGATAATAACACTGAATGGGAAAAACATCTTCTGTGGCATCTTCTGAGTTGCCAGAACAGTGAAATAATTATTCTAAGGAATAGATGAGATGCTGAGATGAGAAGGAAATGTGTAAGAAGCCAAAGTACCGTTCTTACCCCTCCAGACAGCGTGTTGTGGTTAGCTGCGGTGGCGACGAAGGAGTCGGACAGCCCGGTGAACTGGTACGCCTTCCCTGCCGTGCCGTACGAGGACGTGGAGTCGGCCGCCATGCTCTGGTGCACCGTGGACGGGGGAAGGGGCTGCGGCCGGTGCAACGTGGTCGATTCTACTGCGTGGAGAAGAGCAGAACCGAATGGCGTTTTAGAGCTTGGAAACCTGATTTTTTTAAAGTCAGTATTCTAGTTACTTGTCTAAATACTAAGTTGAAACAACACTATCCTAAAGTATATCGACATTCATGAAACGGAAACGGTTACTCGTTTGATCTGTTGATTTTTGTACCACCAAAAAATAAAGGACTCGATCTTAGGGGTTGTTTCTGCGCTGTTTTAAACTCCCAAATTATGAAATATTGATGCAAGTGGTAATGTGGGGCAGTATGTGTCAATATCTTACAGATTTCTTATTCAGAATATTCCACTTTTGCCACCTTGAAATTACAATGTGTCCTCTTTGAATCAGCAACGAAAACACCACCTTCCAAATTGTTACAATGCAAGGCTTTTCTTACAATATTTTGTCATGTGGGGTGTTATAGCTAACGTTTGAACTACAACACACGATATCAGTTGATAAGGTAAAGACAACTTTACACAGCAAAGTAAACCCCATGCTGTAACGCGATTCTTCCCAAATTTTTGGCCTTGGCCTAAATCGCCATATCATTGGCACCTATGTTAATCCTACTGGACCACCAATGGCGTTCTCGGTTACAGCCCAGTTACGGTCGAGATTTGTTCTGTTTTGGTAGCCGCTGACATTACACAAGTTTAGTTCCGACCCCCTTTGTCTCAACAAAAGTAAGGGGGCAACTTCATTAACGCTAAATCCGGGGTAAAGCCCGTCCAAACAAACACGGGATCAGGCTGGATTAGGCTGGATTAGGACCCGTCATCCGCCCACCTTGTGAAGTGATGGGAGAACCGGTGTCCTTCGATCGAAATTGTACTTAGAATTTTTCATCTTGAATGAGCACATTTTAACATTGTATGTTTAATGATCACAACTGTACCTATATGATCATTTTATAGACTGATACCTCTGTAAATAGTCTCACAATTCAGTCCTCTACGGCTGCTAGGAGGCATGTATATCTTTTGCTAAGAACTATCTACAACTACTACTACTTCTTCCTACTACTACTACTACTACTACTACTACTACTTACTACTACTACTACTACTGCTGCTGCTGCTTCTACTACTACTACTACTTATTACTACATCTACTACTACTATTTCTACTACTACTACTACTACAATTACTTCTACTTACTACTACTACTACTACTACTACTACTACTACTTATTACTACTTATTACTACTATTACTACTACATCCGCCCACCTTGTGAAGTGATTGGATAACTGGTGTCCGCCAGCGGCACGTAGGCTGCTGACGCATGCGCCGTGGCTCCGGCGGGGTAGCCCATGGGCAGCAGGTGGTTGAAGCCGGCCAGCTGTTGGGCACCTGCCTGCTTCCTCCAGCGGGCGCGCCGGTTACTGAACCACACCTGGAGGGAAGGGAGAGACAGTTATATCGGTATTCGTAGCAGGGTTCTCCCCAAGCGATGAAGCAAGGGTGCCCCCCCTCTCCCCAAAATCCTAGCACCTATCCCAAAATGTTCAATAAAGGTTTTTCTCTTAGTATTTCCATGAAAATTCACTAGAGAACACCTCTCCCCTAAGAATTTCTGGGGAAACTCCTGCATAATAAGAAAAGTATGGAGATCCTAATAAAGCAAACAAACAAAAGTACACTAAGGTTTAAATTTAAACCCACAAACTCGTTCTCAAATATCCCTACCACTACTACATATAAACTTTATTGTGTGATCTTTTGTTTTATAATATGGTAGTAAAATGTTCAACCAACTCCAGTCATTCGAATAGAGGATTGTTTGTGCTTGTTTATGCCTTAATTCGCGGTTCTTTGGTCGTTGTTTGAAGATGAGGCTTTATGCAACAATGAGGCAATGTTTGGAGATGGCTTCGTCGGTCTTTTGAGATTTCAAATCCAAACATGGATGAAATTCCTCTGCATATATTTCCGATTGCTAGTCTCTTGTTTCATGACGAGTCCATCGGGAGGTTCTGAACGGTTTCCCCTGATCACCCACCGTGTGACAGGCCGTGTGACAAGCCGTGTGACAAGCCGTGTGACAGGCCGTGGTGTTTGCTGTTCTTGCCCGTCCACGCGCACAAGATCAACCCCACCGGCTTCGTACAAGTGTCAAAAGCAAACAAGGCCCATTTCCCCGCACGATCAATCTCCAATTAACAAGGGCAGAAAACAAACACTTTATGGACCGCCAGTAACCGCGAAGAGTCAGACTCTGGTGTTCAGAACCACTGAAGGGGAACATCACTTTCTCCAGGGTTTCATCGCTAACAGTTTAGAGAATTATAAACTAGATATTATGACAATAACACCACTTTATGTTCTATCTGTATGTAGCATAATTCCACACATGGTGTTGGTGTTTAGAACAGTTTTATGACAAGGTATGTTCGAGAGAAAGATGTAGAAGACTCGAGACTCTAAACCCAGAGCTGCACCCTAGCCTCCATGTCCTCTGTGTCAGTGGTAATGTTAGTGTTAGTGTGATAGTGTTAGATTTAGATAACTTACATGTAGCTAGCAGCTTGGTCCTCTGTGTCAGCTCCTGCCGACTGTAGATGTCCGTGTAGTGTTAGGGTTAGGTTTAGGTTTAGATAACTTCGCTAGCAGAGATAACTGCAGACTCTGATCTGCACCCTGGCCTCCGTCAGCTTGGTCCTCTGTGCCAGCTCCTCCCGTGTGTAGATGTCCGTGTACGGTGTAGTGTTAGTGTCAGGTTAAGGTTTAGATAACTTCGCTAGCAGAGATAACTACAGACTCTGATCTGCACCCTGGCCTCCGCTAGCTTGGTCCTCTGTGCCAGCTCCTCCCATGTGTAGATGTCCGGGTAGTGTTAGTGTTAGGTTCAGGTTTAGATAACTTCGCTAGCAGAGATAACTGCAGACTCTAACCTGCACCCTGGCCTCCGTCAGCTTGGTCCTCTGTGCCAGCTCCTCCCGTGTGTAGATGTCCGGGTAGTGAGTGCGCTCGAACGCCTTCTCCAGCTCCTCCAGCTGCTCCGGAGTGAAGGTGGTGCGGCTGCGGCGCTGCTTCCTCTTCAGCGGCAGGTCGGGCTCGGAGTCGCAGTCGGAATCTTCACCTGAGGGTTTGAAAATACGTGAGTGAGTTTGAGATTTCAGCTTTTCAGGCAAAGGTACTAGATAGAGGCGAATATACAGACGGCAAGTCTTCAAACTACATACCCCCCCCCCGCCTACACCGTTGTAACAATTCCATTGTAAGGAATAAAACAAACGTTTAGCGAATGTAGCAAAGGTATTTGCTATATTTGACTAAGAATTTACAGGGAAACAGGAACTGTGCCCCTGCTGCAGACATGGTACAGCTAACTATGGACGCTGTGATGCTTTATTCAAGCCGCACACTCCACTCAGCCTGCCCTTGAAATGCAGAGGGAAGCCTGACGGAACTCCCAATTCCATTTTCTTTACCCATTTCCATGTCCATTACCGGTCATTGTTAGATCAAGGACAAGCCACGGTTACTGGGAACTACTGAGCGAGTCACGCGAACGGAAGGGTGACGTGTTTATGGAGGAAAACAGGCACACTAACATACTGGTTGTGAGAAAAGTTCAACAATTGCACAGCGAGTGTTGAATTCTTTTCCGGTGTCGTCATCGCGTATTGCATCATGGTACACCCCAGGCTCGCTATGTTGGGCCACAGAGAGGCATGTGACACCTGACAAAAGGGCGACGTTGCCATAGAAAAGGACAAAAACAAGCCTGTATACTGGGAATGCACGGGGTTTTGTGATCTTCTCTATATATAAAGTCTAACGGATGGCGACTTTCTTCTGAGAAATGTGAGGGAAGACAGCTACGTGGTAAACATAATGATAAGACTGTTGACAATTCCCTCCACACATCTTTTATGTAGTGTGTTTCTCTTTATTCTGTCAGTTACAAACAGTAGTTCACAAGTTTTTGCGTCTAAGAAATATTCAGTCAAAGTTTGCCTCTCAGTATTTACACATGATTTCACTGTTGACTGTTTACATCTTTTATGTAGTGTGTTTCTCTTTATTCTGTCAGTTATAAACAGTAGTTCACAAGTTTTCGCGACTGAGAAATATTCAGCCAAAGTTTGCCTCTGAGTTGTATTTATACATGAGTTCACGACATCGCTTATCGGCGCAAACTTGTGTGGAGATGCCGATAATTCGACACGCCTCCGCGGTATGCCCCGTCGAATAATTGAATTCAAAATGTTCTCATTCCTATCGCCTCTCGGCTGCACCGCGAGGCTGAAAAAACGACGTTTCGCTTTCCGCTCGGATTATGGTAGCATTACTAAGTATAGGCGATCCGTGTGGGAATATATCGGTCCCTGGTATCAAATTCACGCTGAGTTGGTAGATAGCATCCACCCGTGCCTTAACTCGCCCCCAGAGGCGACGCATCCAATATACTTTATTAAATTTCGATTATCGCTCGCACGCCCCCTATTAATGACGAACGCTTCCCGTGCGCTCGGAGGAATGGGGAGAGAAGCGCACTTGGTTGTTGATGGATATTGGTGGTATTTAGGAACTGATAAGTTCTCGCTTCCCATTAAAGCCTCCACTGAATAGGAACGTAAAGAGCATTTACGTGAGAGGAAACCGAAAACGCTTTGGCGGTGATAACTCGACAAGACTTATTGAATACACAAGTTCGACTTTAGCTGCAACCAACAGAAGTCGCCAAGTTTTACCGTCAAGTTGCAGCAAGGATGGGAAAAAATCGCGGAAAATAAGGCAGAAAATCCCAATCCAAATACATATCTGGTGTCGCGGCGGCGGTGAATTGTGTTCTCTCGGGAGACCAATAGACGTGCGTGTCCGGTGCTTTCATCCCGGCCGCGCGCACTGCCGTGCATGGCGAATTCCACCTCCTCCATGGAAAGGGAATTTCAACCTTCCATTCACTCCTTTTCACCCCAGTTTTCCGCGGTCGCCGGGCGTCATGGACGCGGCCAGCAATGTCTTGTTCACTTCAACTCCACACTTGTTATTCTAACCCAATTCGTACTTTTGCTAATCCTGAGCTTTCAACACATTTTTTCTTTATCTAATATTCGATTCAGGTGTTAGAGGAAAAGTTCACCAAAAGTTCAATGGACTGACTGGACATTCCGGTACCCATGTGGTTTTCCTTCAATATAACGAATGTTCAGAATTGCGCTGCTTCCGTTTGTTATTTGTCCGTATAAAAGTCAAATCCTCCCAAACCAATGGCTGTTTTGAGAAAGCTACGCATGTTCAAAATTTCGAGATGATAACGTAAATGAATTAAAGAAAAAAATATGTTTGTTTTATTCCTTTCTAAGATTTGTTGACGACTTGTATTAAACTTAGATATTTTTTTTTATTTTTAGATTTTAAAAAATCGCAGGTTTCCACGGGAATTGATTTTACTTCAATTCCTAGGTCATTCGTATGTTGCGTGTTGGGGTTCGGTCCATATTTGCCGATATGCTAATGTACATTGGTTTTTTGTGGGGAAATATAGGAAATAAAGTCTTCTCTACTAGAATGTCAAACGTACACTTTATCAGTTGGTGCTGCTAATATAGCGGTCAGTACCACCTGCATCTTGTGGTGTATGTACGTGTGACCTATATCCTAATTTTGCCAGGTGCACCCTGTTCCGCACAGAAAGGTGGAAAATTCTAATAAAACACCACCCAAAACAGCGCACTCTCCCCTTACCAACCCTGCTATTTTTGCCATGTGAATTTTGGGGAGCCAACTTCACGCTTTCTTCGGCGTCCCGTCAGCGGTAATTCAGACAAATCGACCAGCGTACCTGGGCTGGGAAGATAAGAGCGCGTGTGGCTATCAACATGCATCCTTCATGAATTCTCTCTCCCACAAAGATCGGATCAACTCGGTAAAGGATCGAAACAGTCTCCACTGTCCGCTCCAACTTTTCTCCTTTCAAACAAGTCACTTTCAATTTGTGTCCGCGCAATTTCGCTGAACGCTCCCCTGAGTTCTTTTATCCCATTACCGGGTGAAAAGGGGGAGGGGCTTCGGCTGCACCTGGCATTTTTTTTTCGGACCCTCCGAATCATGAAGAAGTTCAATGTGCGACATTGTGGCAAACATTTTTGATTAACTTTGTGGTACAACTGACGTCTTGTGACATGCCCTCAGTACGCAAGGAGTGAAACTTGAGAAGATTAGGGGATTTCGGAAGGGGTGACCACCTACTAGTACCTAGCTTGCTCTTGACAGGGCTGTCCTAACACTTTCTTTGTAAAAGAAAAAGTAGGTGGCGAGTTCACTCCCTTCCATGCACTTGCTGTGTCATTTTTTAAAATACTCTTGGCCAGTGTAACAACGTTTTTTCTGGAGCCAGACCCGCTTTCTTTGTCTCTCGCGTTTACAATCTTCCAGGGGAACTAAATAACTTTTTATGGCGCTAATTTCTCCACCCTACGTTTACTCTCGTGACAGTGTGAATTGGTCTTAATAAGCCCGTCGCTTGTTCTTAATAATCCCCGGCACAGCTATATAAAGGACATGACGCATCGAGGCATGACAGGCGATGTTTGTAGTGTAGAGTTGTGTACAGAAGGACCGGGACACGTGGGTACAAGGAAAGCCTGTGTGGTGAATGGGTGTAGACTTAGCTAAGCTGTTGTTCTGGTACGGCTGGTGTTTGTGTACGCGGTAAGAAAAAAGGGGGTAATCAGTTCACACTCGACAAAAGCCTCGGCTATTGTAGCACAATCAAAGCGCGATCATGGAGGGGGTTTCCTTTTGAAAGATGTTTAATCTTGCGGCAAAGCGGGGGTTTTCAAGTCATGTTCAATCAGGGCCAAAGATTTCGCCTTGTGGGAAGAGGTAAGCCCTTTCCAGACAGCGATCAAATATAATTGAGTCTTGCTTCAATCCCACTTCTCTTTTGTTCGCAATCCAATATTTTCCCATGTTTTTCATAAGTTTTCAAAGAGAATGCCCCGCGGCCTCATACATATAAATTGAAAACGCCCGCCAATCCATATTGCTGGGATTTGTTAATTTAGACTTTTCTTTACCACTCAGTAAACAAGACCATACTTTATGATGCCAGCATAGCGATAGACAGGCAGCAGACTGGGAGCGCCGAACCGATCACGAGATGTCGGCGGCAATCTCTCGCCAGGTTCCCGTGAGATGTCGACAGGAACGCACCGGGCGCTACAGCGTCGCCTGCCTTACGGGGCAAGTGCGCCGTTTGCCCTTTCCCGGTATTGGCAATTGCAAATCTTCCCGCATAATACTTCATTTCCAATAAGTCGACCATCTGCCAGGGAAGATACTATTGTACGTGCGCGGCGCAGCCTCCTTCGGTCGCCCTGTGGCTTTGTCCCCGTGGAGGACCCCTGCCTCGCTGATACACCATCAGAGACCGCATGGCTCTGTGTAGATATGAATAAGAATTGCCTTCTATTACCACCACGAAAATCGAGCGCGCCATGGTACATTCTGACGGCATTGAAATTCGGTACAGCAATCGTTGGTCGGAAAATGGGGAAATACAATGTTTCGTCGGGGCATATGTCGCTCCGGTTCGCACAACTGCCGTTCTATCTACATTCTCAAGTCACACTTGGAAGCCTTCCTCTACTCTCTGTATCTTTACTTTCCGCTTCCTTCTGAAGGAGGCTCTCAGTTCGTTCCCTCTATAATTTCCGTGTACACCTCAGTCGTGCCTGCCCCATGCTGGCCAAATTTCAGACCAGCTTGTGGCGGGTCATCATTAGTTCGGGCTGTCACAACTACATTTTGGTGACCGTCTAACGATGACAAATAGAGGTTGGACATCTTTGCCAAAGTTATCGCCATGAAGACAACCCTGCCTCCGAGCGGCTTGGCGCGATGCCCTTGCCTTTTTCCGACTGCCCAGTGATTTCACAGCTCCTGAGGTGCAATTTCAGGGATAATTTGGCTCTTTTGCTCATCTCGGCCAGAAGAAAAGGAATTTCGCGGAATTGTCATGGATTGTTAACTTTCGTGGACCATCGTGTGGCCGTCTCTTCACTTTCGCGACTTTCCGTAAAATCTCGGCCGCGCGCCCGCCGCGCTTTTTTCCCGGCCGGGACCGGCTGCCGCTCCGCCCGACACAATACACGCACAATACTACTGTGTAATCGTAAATCCACGCACACTATTGACTTGGAAATCCACTTTTTCTAACGCGTAAATGGAATTTTAAAACGTACTAAACCGGCTGCCATGCATTTGCCCCTCATATTCCTGCGGGATCCGGTCCCCAAACGTTATTTTGTCATTGATGCGGGGAATATGAAAAGCGGTCAATCATGAAGTGGTTCACAATAGACGACACTCTGCAGCTACAAGAGGAAATAACAGTCGTACAAGTGGATATTGTGTAGTAGAAAACCCTTGTTCAAACAAATCTGTTGCCCCGATAACGGCACGGAAGAAAGCAAACACCACAGAAAGGGAGAAGGGAGGGAAAGAGGGAACAGATTTTCCGGGAGTTCTTTACAGCGGAAGCTGCTTCTTTTTTCGAACCGGTTGGTCTTGACAGAGATTTTTTCTTGAAGCTTGCTATTATGGCGAGACTCAATAGAGCTTTTGTAGTGTAACACGATACGAAAACTCACGCTGGGACGTTCTGGCAAGCACAAGACATCCCACACAAATACACGGCCTTTCCTGACTACCAGCCCGTAATTATTGGATAACAAAATCCTCCGCGCTTTCTCCGCAAAAGAAGGTGACAGTTGTAGGAAAAAGACCAATTAAAAACAGCTGCTGCAGTTTCGAGGGAGGGGAGCAAAAGATCTAACAAGACGAAACCGCAGAGGAACAATAGTTGAAAGGAAAATTCCATTATGTACAGAATACACCTTGTTTTTCACACCTCGGGTTTTTCGGTTTTCCCCATAGTCTCCAGTCTCTTCTCATTGCCAAAATCCTCTTGTCTTAGGCGCCTATCTGTAAACATGCTTTTGTTTCGAACAGATTTTTAAAAGCGAATTACCAGAAGGTTTGAATACAAATTCCATTTACAGTACAGTGCTTGATCTTCCCGTTCTTTTCCGCCCCTTTCCTCCACACCTCTCCGTACGGCGGTAGGTAACACCTCAGCGCCGCGCTTTTCGTCACCACCCCTAAGAAGTGCTGACATTCCAAGTGTGTTATTTTCGTTTAATTCCATCGTTTCTGTATAAAATATTCGTTCAGCTGCGGGGATGTGAAAAGGTCGGGAGGAAGGCGATTGTTGGCGGGTCAGCGGTAGGGTGAAGCCGGGCTCGGTAACGGCGGGGAGTCTGCATGGAGATGTCAAGCATTGTTGCCAGGATTGATGAGACTAAAGTCTAGACTCTCTTGGGGACGGAGCTTCTGACCGGAGCGCTTGTCGGCCGAGATTACGGCTTTAAAACGTCTGACAGACAGCCGAATGATGGTTGTACGTTCCCGCCAAAGTGTGGAGCATGTGCCGGTGTACCCACCGCCCTACTCCGTACCCGCACCTGCGTTTTCCTCCACGAGGCACCGTACCGTTTTCCGACAGATTCCAACGAGAGCGGTGGATATTTTGACATTCTGTACAAACTATAACTACTTTTACACAATTCAGATAATATGTTAAGCGTCTTAGCCTCTGTAGGTTGTATAGACTCCAACATATACACCTGTATACGATGTTTTTCTTGTCGACAGTACGCTGAAGCTACATGAAGTCAGCTGTGACGATCTGGCACTTATTTTTCTATTTTCTCTCCCCGTGCTGAAATTATTGATAAACGGCACCGCTTTATTACGTCTTTCAACCCCACTCAATCGCAAAAATAAGTGGTTACTTTGAGAACGACCGCAAAAATTGTGCGTTATTTTGATAATCCTGCGCCCAAGTACGGGCTGCTCCGCCAGCTCTGCTAACCTGTAATTTCAAATGTCACGCGACGTCGTGCGATCCATCATAGCTCATCATCAACCAATTCCACCTCCTCTTAAAAATCTAATTCAAACTGCTCCAATTACAACAAGAAACGACAACTCGTTATTTCATACTCAGTAGTTGTATCAGGAGAAGCCGTGGTAAGATTTTGGGCGCGCATGGCGCGCTGCGTGGATGAGAGAATATAAATATAAGGAGGAGAAGAAAAAAATCCCTCTATGTTCGATCTTGCACGCTTCTACGCCTCTTATGCCCCAGTCAACCACATTACGGCTGTTGTCGGCAGAACGGCCCGCTCCTGGGACGGGTAATGCCACGGCTCCGCAGGCACGGGGATCACGGGTGGAAAATGCCCATTGAATTTGCTCTATGCAACAATTTTACGCGTCCAAAATTATGGCAGCGAGGGGGCGCGCAGAAGAAGACGCAAAAGTCAAGAGCAAAAAGAGCTTCACGTCATGTCAGAGCAGGGCAGGCGGGAGGAAGGATGGGCGACAGGGAAGACTAGTGACCAGTGTTTACTACTAAACTGTCAAATATCACTCTCTTCTCTGTTTTAACGTTTGCTGACAGAACCAGACCAGATATGGTTCAAAATCATGAATGACGTATGAGATGAATGACCAGTAACATGCAGCCATATACGATCAGAAAAATGTAGTTATGAAAATATAAGTTACGTTTGCTGAGATGGAACAAAAATGACAACATTCATATATCCGTGATAGCCAACCGTTGAATTGTTAGCCTAGACGTTAAGTGCACCGTGTACCGTTACTTGTTATAACAACTTACAAAACACGAACAAAAGAAAAGATGTTACGATTTAAGGTTGCTATGAATTTCCGACGTTCCTTATTTTTACCAATCCTCATGATTATGATACATGGATAACAAAACCTCTTGTGATTTGACGGGAAATCATTCAATTGTGTCGATACCAAACTCGACTAAACTAGTTATACCTGAAAATTCAGACCATTGTCGGTAAACGTTTGTGCAATAAGCTTAGTTTGTGTATTCTTGGTGAAGAAAACTGTAGTTACAGGTCTTATTTGTCATATATGCATGGTCTAAAATCGTTGAATAAAGAGAAATTTTCAGATATTGGCTCTATTGGAAATTACTTTACGCAATTCTTGAAGCGAGCAGTGACCAATAGTATTTTTTGTTCAGAACAGTATTTCTCTACGCTCGTTGTCAAATAGTCGCAAATTAACAGGCAAACACGATTTCTTGTAACTCGATATCAAAATCAACAAGATATGCATCAGATAACATTGTTGTGCAAGTGAGTCGTTTCCTTTTTTAATGTACCGACAGACTTCAATCATTCCGTTGTTGTATGCTGAGATTCTTGTAATTTTTTCGTCCCGTGAAAATGTAATTCCTTCTCAAGCTAATACCGATTCTTGTAAACAGTCATGGTTTCAGGCAGCTTTTGGGAGCCTGTAATAAACTTAACTGCCTCTCCAAAGGTTTGTATGCGCTAACAAATATACCATGATTTGATAATTGGCACCGAATGATCGCTCTTTGAAGGCGTAATGTAATTATCGCCCTAATAAATCGGCGAGAAAAACGTCCAGATTACAATTTCACACTTGAAATACCGAAATTCCGGACGAACATCCTATTATCTTAGGTCAGCGCTGTTCATGCTGCCCAGGTCGGTACAGGTGTACAGCTCAGGTTCGTACTCACCTCGACAGCCGCCCTTCTCGCCCAGGATGCCGTCGATGCTGTGGGACCGTTTCTTCTCGCCGTCCTCGCCGTCCCTCCGCTCGTCCTCGCTGTCGCCGTCCTCGCTCCGCCGGCCGTCGCCCTTCCCTCCGCGGAGAATGCGTGAGATGGAGGAGACGGAGGGGACGGTGCTGCGGTCGCACATCCCGTCCTTCAGCAGCCGGTCCCGGATCTCCCAGCTGAACATGCCGGGGTTGTCTCGCTTGTAGTCCTCGATCTTCTTCTCCACCTCGGGTGTAGCGACGCGCGGCTTGCTGCCGCCGATGGCGCCCGGCTTGATGGAGCCCGTCTCCTGGTAGCGGCAGAGGATCTTGGAGACGCAGCCGTGCGACACGCGGAGCTGGCGGCTGATGACGCAGGGCCGGATCCCGGCGGCGGCCATCTCCACGATCTTGTGCCGAATGTGGTTGGGCAGCGGGCGGCCGTTGATGAAGACTCCCCCGAGCTGGTTCACACGACCCTGCCCTGGTAGCACGAAGAATAATGCCATCGAGTTTGGTGGTGAGAGAGGAACGGAACAAACTACGCAAGTCTCGTGGTCGCCGAGCAGTTCAAATCTTTCTCAGCTAAACTTACAGATCTTATATTACGTCGGAAATCCGTAGAACCAAACGATAAAGATTACAACAGAGACACCCTCCCGTTTTCATTCATACAATTCATAATTTTATCTTCACGGCAAAGCTATTTTGCTAATAAGCATCAAATACGCGATTTCATAGAAACAAGCAAACTACTGGGTAAGAAGAAATGGTAGGAGAGATAATAGGATAAGCATTATTTCCTCGTTGTTCTCGGGTTTTCGTATGTTTTAGGGATTTGTTTGTTGTAGTAGGCGCCGAGAAAAAGGGAGACGAGGAAGTCACAACAATACACATTTTCATATCCATGGAAGGTGTTGGCTCTTCACACAATGGCCGTGGTGTTTGCGACAAACGAATTAGGAGAACTAAGATCTGTTAATTTGTAAATCTCGCCAATTATCTTCTTGTTAAGATAAGCCACTGTGTTGACAACAGGAGTTTAGGCTCTATGATACGCGAGTGTGTACAGGCTTCTTCAATTTCGCTTTTTATCTTTCAACTTTTCACCTATTGCAAGTTAGAGATCAAGGCTCGAACAGAGAAGGTATGCTGCGCACAAGTGTGCGGCGGAAAAAAACAAAGAAAACTCAGGACCAGTCATGACGTAAGGGAAGTGTTGGAGTACATTGAGGGGGAGGTTTCGCCTCCTGACGACAAGCTAGCTCAATATTATTACATCAACTTATAAAATCTTGCACTATGTATGTGAAATTCGCCCGGGTGGGTAGTATATTGAACATGGTGTCGACATACAGACATGTGTGGTACATACACATACATGTATACACGTGTGTTCTACACCGCTGCACGGGAGCACTGGTACACATGGCATAGGACAGTCATTTACCGAGCAACTGTCTGGTACTGATGAATTGAACCAGAACAAGAGGCCGATATTCTGTACTTCAGCAGGACTAACACATGGCACACACACACACACATAACGGTAGCGAATGTGACAAAAGACGGGATCGACGGTCTCACCTTCTAGCGGGAAAGGCGGGCGGTAGGTGGCGGTGGCCCCCGGTCGCATCATCATGGCTGCGGTCCTTACGTGTGTCCACGACAAGTCAGAAAGGCCTCACAGGAGTTCCTTGCTGTGTTTTCCTCGCAAGGTGTAATCACACGCAGTTTGGAACGGCCACTTTATATCAAAGTGTGACCCCTTTTGTGATCGCGCCTACTTTGTAAAGCTAATTCTACTCCTTGTCACATTGTCTCCGCGCTGATTGGTCGCTGATGGGCGGGGCAAGGTAAAAACTCTTCCGATTGGTCGACGCGTCGATGCCGCACTTCTGTGACAGATTTTGGCCCTCGGCTCACACAAGTTGGAGTTTGGGACGAGGAACATCTGGGTTGGATTTGGTCGCTTCGTATAAGGGCGGGGTACCGCTGTGGGAACTTAAAACTTTGCAGCTGAGTATGAAATCACTGGAAAACTCCCACCTTTGTAAATTCACTACTTCATTCTATGAGCGAACACTTGTCACGCACTTTCCTATTTCTAAGATGCTAAGGAAAGAAATCTGATGATGCTGATGATCGTGTGCGGTTCTTGGCACACCTTGCTTCCGTGACAAACGGCCAGGAGCGCCCGGACACCTGATATTTGAAACTATTCCATTTGGGACGTATCACTCGGCGGGTACCTGACATCCTGCCAGTATTTATAGTATGTGAACCTGTTTCCCACAGGACCTTGTATGCGTCTTGAACACGGCCCCAACAAAAGTACAGACAATATCAAACAAAAGGACTGCAAGTTGTGTCGCGATTCAAGGCACTTCTTGTACGTTCCTTCTTTTGTTTTTGATGACGCGGTTTCGGAAATAATCAAAACACGTGTAGAAAATGTCCGTTACATTCTACAGCGGTCATAACTGGACGTAAATGTCCGATTAATTAGCTGGGAGATCGCGTTTCGCGGCGGTGCTGTGACGAATCGTCCTGATGTCGGGCCGGGAGCGGGGCAGGTTGACGGATGCCGCTCGGGGCGGGGAAGAAGAGAGAGCGTTTTGTTCGGGCGGTGAATCCTCTGCCTGACCCGGTGTGACATCCGCCCTGGGTGCACCGGAACTCTGGCCCCGTGTGGAGCACATGTCGCACGTGGGAACGGTGTCATCAGGAGGGGCGGAGGATCCTCAGCTCTAGTTCAGAAACACGCAGTCTCATCAAATAAGGAGCAAACACTTCTTCAATTTGACACTAACAGACATTCATCTAGATACCCATTCATTCACCATTTCCTTTATTCTCTCTCATCGATCCCTCATTCGTCCAACCCTGAATAGCTCTATTCAGTCTTTAGTATGTATCATTGCTCACACCAATGACTGTCCTACTTTAAAGTACAGATAAATAACGTAAAAGAATTCAAGGAAACCTAATCTTTATTGCTTCTGTGTGGCTGATGTGGGGGGGAATTTTTGCAACCCTTCTGATGAACATTTTGTTCAAAGATTCTGCCACCTCTACATCTATCAATCATCATCAATGGTGTCATGAAGTCCGTTAGCTGCTTTTGGTCACTCAGAGAAACATTTGAGTGATCTTAGTCGAACAAAACAGTGGATAAGTCCTGTGTTGGTGGTAACTTTGCCACACAAAAAAAACACTTGTATGCGTCATGTTTCTTGTCTTTAAAAGGCAATTATAAGACAATAAAATGAATATGAAGATAATGTCCTTTGTATAGAATGGATAAAACATATGGGATGTCTTCACGACCAAGTAGCCGTACTAAAACACGCACTTGACACCATCACCTTACCTGCTTCCTGTCGACATGTTTTCATTCCGTATGTGTTGAAATCCTACCATAAAATCAGCTGATTGGCCGGTTTTGATGACGTACATCTGCTGTGGAGTGTCCGTTACGTCTTTATCTGAGGATATCTTCTCTTCTGGATCATGACTGTTTGTTTACATCACACCTTACTTCCAAGAATTTTGGGATCATCAATTTTTTGTTGACACGAACAAGTGCACGGATTAGTAGGAAGATTTAAGAATTACGTTTTGAAATAGGCTAGAATTAAGGTCTGTTGTGGAGTGTCCGTTACCTTTTATCTGAGGATATCTGCTCTTCTGGATCATGAGATTAACGTACTGTTTGTTTACATCACACCTTACTTCCAGGAATTTGGGGATCATCAATTTTTTGTTGACATGAACAAGTGCACGGATTACTAGCAGTATTTATGAATTAGGTTTTAAGCTAAGGTCAGTTGTGGAGTGTCCGTTACTTTTTATCTGAGGATATCTGTTCTTCTGGATCATGAGATTAACGTACTGTTTGTTTACATCACACCTTACTTCCAGGAATTTGGGGATCATCAATTTTTTGTTGACACGAACAAGTGCACGGATTACTAGCAGGATTTATGAATTATGTTTAAAAATAGACTAGAATTAAGGTCTTAATTTGTTTGTATTCGTTTGATTAATCCTTATTTAAGAGAAGCAGTGTTCCCACATGTGAACCCAGCCGACACGCATGGCCCTACCTGTATCCCCGTTAGTTTTGTGTTCTTCTCTACACAAAACCCGGGCGCTGTACTGTAACCAACTGCGATTCCCTGCTTTAATGCTAACATAAAGTGCAGCACTCCGGTCTATTTGTATTAATTATTCTAATCTGCCCTCCGAATAATTGGGAGGAAGCGCACGCGTGTTGCACGCCTTTTACTGGCGTTTTGTCAGAGTTCCCAAACAGAGCCCAACCACCGTATAATCCATTGACACGAGAAATTACTCAGCGCAAAAAGACTATAGTTCTGTGGTAGAGGAAGACACCCGCTTGTAATGACATAATAGACGTTTGGCTGCGGTCATGTACGGCTTCCATGGCAGTGGTGAATCGTGAAGATCAAGTCAAGGAAACAACAACTTTGTTTTAACTGGCTGTACATCGATTCATTACTGATAATCACTCGTAAATACTGGTAATGTGCCATGGATATACTTTCAGGGATATCTACTTTGTTCATGTTCAGTACTCTCCAAGCAGAGGTTTGGGTTTTTTGCTTATTCTTGGCGTGTTTTATTTAGGCTTTTTATCAGGATTGGATTGGCGTAACAAAGATTTCAGTGCAAAAAAGAGACCCTGATATTCAGTGATAAAAAAAAAGGTTAAAAACACGCCAAGAATAAGCCAAAACGCAAACCTCTGCTTGGAGAGTAAATTTTCACAGTAACCTTCAAGTATTCAAAACGCGTAAACTATGTAGCATACGTTTTATTGGTGTATGAATGTATAAAATCAGCTGTATGCTAAACGATATCATTTTACAATAGATGTATAAAACATTGGGGATGGTGTGTGGGAGGGGGGCGGCTCAATCACTCTCCAACCCTGCGCCTTTCAGGTCTAATAACGCTTCCGTTGGTCGTATTTAACACCTTCAGATGGCTACTCTCACTAACGAGGCGTGTGTCGGCACCAATGGAGCGATTAACAGTCAAGTGGGATCGCACTCTCACTTTCAGCGTGCCTGTTATCGCTTTCACATTAGAGATAATTACTAATATCCTCTGAGACTTCTGCACGTCCCAACCCGTTTTCCGTCGGGCGATCACGAGATGCATTTCAATCAACGCCGTCTATGTGGGAAAACGGGGCACATTTCAAAATCCAATCATTACGTGATGATAATGTTGTCGCTCAGTATTAGTAGTTAGGAATGATGAGACAATTCAGCAAATCAGTCAAAGATAAAACATTGTTCTCTTTGCGCTAGCCGGAAGTCATTGTGAATTCAGGACCTGGTCTTCTCGAAACCCTCCCGTGTAGAACGCCCCATCTTTCTCCCTTCTTCCTCCATCTATAAAGCAGCAATACGGTCCGCCAGGAAAGGCTGTCGCCGTGGCGATATTCCCCTCGCAGCGATATAGGCGAACGTTAAGTACCGATTCCCTTATCTCCGACTGATTAGCCAATACCCGGCAGGAAGGGGGGCAGAATGCGCGCGTTCCCATCTATTTGCCGAGCACCAGTTGTTATCTGCACGCACCACGATGCTCCGGGGACCCCGTCTTTGCAAGAAATCGTGTCGGACGGTAATGAATTGACTGTTAATGTTGTTGGAGAGGGTCATTTCGCTTTGTCCGTGTGCAGATCTCTCGCAAAGGAGATTACGACGAAAACCGGGGGCATAATAGAGTTCCACAACGGCCCCAGATAGCAGCTTTGTGAGGGAAATAAAAACAAATTAACTCGTTCAGACGTTATAGACTGAAAGGTGGAGTGGCAGATAGGAGAGATTGGGAGAACTTCTGGATTTCAAGTTTGGACCTAAAACTTTTCAATCTCTAGGAGCGTAAAGTACCAAAAACCAACCACAAAAGCGCTTTTGCGCGTATAGAAGATTCGTCTAACACAGGGAGGATGTGCATAAAGAAGAGATTCGCTAAATTTTGGTTGATACGAAAGACTAGAGCTGGCGCCTGAACTTTGAGCGCTGTCAGAGAAAGGTGACTTTGATTTGTATTGGATGAGGTCGCACCCCTGTCCCCCGGAATCCCTACCAAACACCTTCCATTCAGGTAAAGCCGTTCATGTCAGTCACATGCCCCCAGGTCAGCGTCACATCCGCATACAAACCATCAAGCCATCATTCAGACCCGGAGAGACCGCATGACTTGTTGGAGGGCACCGAAGTGTTGAGCCGGGCGGATCTTCCCGACTTTGTAGAGATAATTTATAGTCATCTCTTTGAACCACGACCAACGCAAAGTAACGTCTAACGAGTGGCATCGCCTGGAGAGCGGATCTTCCTCCTCGCACAGCGGGCACGTCGGCGGATTTCCTGCTAAGCACATTCCATGTCATTGCGCATGACGAACTTTCTGTGAAAAGTTGGGTGACAGGAGCTACTTTTGGTACCTCAAGCTGGGATCTTCCTGCGAGCCCGGGCCGGGACGGCAGGGGACGCGGGGACTAAGGCGGTTAGACTTGTTATTCGTGCGTTTCCGTGACGACTTGTCTGAAATGCGACATGGGATCCCATCTCAAGCTGCGTCTTTAGAAGTCAACAGAAGGACAGAAAGGACATTATCCAGAAGTAATTACCTGTTTGTCATTGGGTCTGACAAAGTTTCCAGCGGGCGCGGCGCGTTTCCGGCTGCGGGCTATGCGGGGAGAGTCAAGCTGAGACGTTTGCTTGGAGAGTAACTGTGATAGACTAAGATTACTC